GTAACTGATGTGATACAGCAATCTGTATAGGGGTAAAATTGGGAGTTCATAACCCACTTGAATCAAACTGTGAAATATGATGTATTAAGAACTATGTAATGTTTTGAACGACCAACAATTAAAAAAAAGAAGAGAAAGAAAGATAAATGAAAATGAGTTATTTCAATAATCAAGACTTTTGGAGTTTTGTTTTTTCACTGTGATGTAGGGGAAATGCCAGGCTCCTTACGTAGCACAAAAATTTTCCCGATGGAGAACAGCAAAGTGAATTTTGGTAAAAATCTGAGTTAGGAGGGGCTAGCCTTTGTTTTCAGTGTGCTCTGTAGTCTTTCTCAGAGCACCTATTAAAATTGAGTGATTTATGTAACTTTAAAGTGTGCTTTATCCCTAGTTAAGCTGTATGAAGCACCACCCACCTTACTACTGTGTCCCCAGTGCTTTGCATGACATTCTGACACATCAGAGGCTCCTCATACATATTTGTTGGATTGAATTGAACTAGATACTTTTGAGTTGAATTAATGGGAGTTTTAGCTATAGAGGAAGAAATAACAATATCTGAATAAACAAAGTGAGAGAAACTGGTTATAGCTAGGACTTTCAGAGAATGAAGAGTCTTAATGGAAGGAGTTCTCCAGAATATTTAGCAACAAAAGATAGAAGAAAATGTGCATCTGGGAGGTGGGGGGTAAGGGTGAGAAACAACTCCCTGTACTGTACATCAGTTCACAGAATATGAGTTATAATAGATGACATACATGATCTTGTACTTCATTACTCACATACTAAGTATGAATTATTGGATACACATTATGTGCCAGGCATGTCTCTTGTCATTGTTGAACAAATAAAATTGTGAATCCCTACTATGTGACATACTGTGTGGCAGGTATTTGAATGCATTATAGAATAAGAAATATGAGATCTCAGCTCTCAAATTGCTGTACCTGGGAGGAACACAGACCTTGAGCAAGGAGTTACTTTTGAGTGTGATGAGGATCGTATAGTTAAAATAACATTCTGCAGGATGGTAAGCTCCATATTAGATCTTAAGGGTGAATCTGAGCCCTGAAAGGTGGGATTTTAGAGGTGAGTGAAGAGTTAGAGATCATTGCCTACATTTCTCACCTAGAGGTGACAGATGGGAGTTGTCAGTCTGGGTTCATGTAAACTGAATGTGAAAGAAAGAAAGACAATTCTGGAAATATATATTAGCAGAAGCCAAACTCTGAAAGGCCTTGAGAACATTTTATGGAGTTCAGACCTCATTAAAAAGCAAGAAGAATCTTAAGCAGAGATAGGTTCCAGCCAGATTTCATTTCCAAAAGCTCCCTCTGGTGACAATGAACAAGTTGAAGAAATTGTTGTCTTCATCCAGGGCTATAAATGCCAGGCCTGGACAGTGAAGAAAGAGAAAATTTTCCTCTAGGAGTTCAGGAATCCATAAGCAGAATGAGAGATTAGCTAGTCTCTGGATGAAGCAAATAAGAAGAAAAATGACCATGATATTGTTGGAGTAGCAAACAACAAACAGCCTTCCAGTTGAAGAGTTTATAAGGATAATACTTTCTTAAAACAGATTTGAAAATTGGCTCAGCAGAAATATGAGAAGTTTCATCATTTCCAGCATCTATTGAAAATGAATTCCGTTCAACCCCAAAATGATGTTCACGTGAAGCAGTGCTCCTGCTCAAAGTACAAACGTTCTTTCTTGTTCTCAATTCTGTGCACGTGGTGGGAGTTGTCATGGTATATTAACAGTTCTGAAATGTGGTTAGAACACTGAAGACAATAGGGGGMATTATACAAAACCAAGCCAGGGAGGTGTGATAGGGTCTCGACCAACACATTAAGAAGTTTGGTCTTTATCCTATAGCAAGGAGAATCATTGAAATTCTACCAAATGGGAAACATGAGTAGATCTATAGCTTGAAAAGAGCACTCTGTCTGCAAAGTAGAAATCTCTTTGGAGCACAGCAAGAATGGATTCTGAGAGACCAGTGTATTATTAGGAATTGTGTTTGGCTGTGAGAGTCTAAATATAGTAGCTCGATGTCCTGCAGGGGTTCAGACCCTGGCACACACATTCAAGATCCTGGCTCACAGATTCAAGATCCTGGCAAGTGAAAGAAGATGCAGTCACAGTTGAGAGACGTGTTTTATCTGGAGGTGGCAGCAGCCCTGAGTCTTTCCATAAACCTTTTTTATATGCAGGCCAAACAAAAAAGGTACAGTGCCAACAGGTTATTTAAATAAGCTGATGTTCACAAGCAGATTTTTATGGCCTTCAGTACATATGCCGAATCAGGACGTTTATGACCTTGACTAAATACTAAAAACATCGCTGGCCAGAAGTCTCAGTGAGGAAGCCTAACTATAGGCACAAGTGTTGGGCTTCCTCAACACTTGAACAGAGGACTTTTGTTTTTCTCAATGAGTGAGATGTCAGAAGTAGGCCGTTGTATTGATGCAGCAATGGAGATATTTGCAGTTCTCTTGGCCTTCGCATCATGATCAGTCAATAAGCATGCAATGCCTGCTCAACCCTCACATAACTCAGTAGCACTCTAGATGCAACAATAGCAGCAGGAAAAATAGGAAGGACCTATCTCTAAAGAGTTGCCCCTTTCCAGTCTTAGAAGACCTACAGAAACACTGACTTACATCTCATTAGTCAGGATCTTTATATACCATTCCATCTTCTATTAGTTAAGGAGGCTAGGGCATGTGATTTTTTAGTACATTGCCAGCCCCAACAAATTTGAAGTCTGTTAATAAGAAAGAAAAAGGTAAATGACATTGTTCAGGCACCTACAAACAGGAAGAAAGAGACATCAGTTCAAGTAGACGGTATCATAGCTCAGATTGAAGTGAGGAAAATGTAAGAAAACGACATGTTCTGGAAATAATTGCAGATAGAAGTATTAAGACTTGGTTATGGATTTGGGCATGGGGAGAGATGCAGAAGAAGGTGTCAAGGGTGACTCTTAGTTCTGGATTATGTGACTAAATGATTGGTAGATGCATCACAGAGATGCAGGGAACGCTGGGAAACAACTTGTTTTGAGGAGTAAGACCACAGCATCAATCTGAATACATGTCAAATTTGAAGTGCTATTTAAATATTCAAATGAAGATGTTTATCTGATTATTTCATTTGTGAATCTAGATCTCAAACCAGAGCTCTAAGCTGGAAATTCTGGAGTCTTTCACAAGTGGGCAATATATTAGTCAGGCTGTCATACCTGTGACCCAGATATTTGATAAGAACAGCTTACAGGAGGAAAAGTTTATTTTGGCTCAGTTTCAGAGGTTCAGTCCACAGCTGGACTCATCATCCATTGCTCTGGGCCCACGGTGAAGCAGAACACCACAGTAAGGGCATGGTGGAGGATCACTGCTCCACTCCTTGCAGCTGAGAGAGGGAGCAGAGAAGGAACCATGGGTTAGATGAACCATTCTATGCCACACACCCAGTGACCCACCTTCTCCAGCCACTGTCCACCTACCTACAGTTACCACCCACTTAGTCCATTCAAACTAGAATATACTGATTAGGTTATAGCTGTCCTAATCATTTCAACTTTGAATATTCCTGCATTGACACAGGATCCTTGGGGTACACCTCATATGCAAACAACAGACAATTTCTACTCTGCCCCAAGTATAAGACATATAGTCCAAACATCAATTAAAATAGTCACAATCACTTGACACATACAAAACCTGCAGACTGGTTTGAACCAGTTGGGACCATGTTGCTGTTACTGTTGCTGCTGTTTCAAATTAGAAACTTTTGAGGAGAAGGCCATGCCTAATTAATCTTTGTGTCCACAGTGACTGATATGCAGTTAATAATCAATAAGTAAAAAAAGAACAAAAAATTGGCTGTTATAAAATGGAGAATCAGATGAGGATCTTTGAGTGGTATAAACAACATGCTAGGGATTTACATTTAGCAGAGAGAATCAAGAAAGAACTTGTGGTTTCTGCAAATGAATTTTATGACATTCATACAACTTTGAATGGTATATCCACATGCTAAGTTAGGTGGGACTATGAGGACAAAGGAAAGTCTGGGCTTGTTGAAGGAGAGAAGTGCCCTAACTTGAAGTCTAGGTCACAGATAAGTATATTAAAAGTAGATAATGTTATAAAAATAGATTAAAACCATGTTGTGGTAGAAACTTTAGAAGCCATGATGAGGTTTTTTTTTTTATTCCATGAGCAACATGGAATGATTAAAATCTTGATATCAGAAGATCTTAGATCAATCATAAGCTGAATTTAAGAAAATATATTTTGACAGCAGTAGATAACATGCATAGAAGAGGTCATGCGGGACAGTGATTAAGAAAAGCTGACTTCTTAATAACAATATGAAAAAGAACAGATTCAATGCATTATCTTTTTCCAGAAAAGAAAATGAAGAGTAAYAAATGTTAAGGAAGCACATTTTAAGGGCAATGCCAACAAACTTTACTAGAGATTGCAGTAGTGATATAAAAAAAAAAAAAGACCTTAAGTTGCAGAATAAAATGCATACAGAAGCATAAAAGAAATGTATAGTTTATCTCACTGAATCCTAACTGTCCTGTTAGGTAAATAAGTTGCTATCCCCCTTTTGGACACTTGCTGTGGATGCTGGAATTCAAACTCAATCTGACTTCAGATCCTGTGCTGTGACTCACTCTTCTAAACTATGTGCCTGATTTATAACAAAAACAAACAAACAAAAGCCCCGGCTAGCTTTTAGAGCTGTCCAACAGCTACTTGGGCTGCTCTGTGAAATAGTAAGCTAAAACCTTGAAATGTGCAAGTTTCATTGAACACTTGAATGATCATTGTGAGGGGAGCCCGTTTTTGTGTTGTTGTTCTTATTAGCTATACATGACAGTAGAATGTATTTTGACATGTTATACATATATGGAGTACAACTTCCCATCCTTCTGGTTGTACATGATGTGGAATTACATGGGTTGTGTATTCACATGTGAACATAGGGAAATAATGCCCAATTTGTTCTACTGTCTCTCCTGTAGGGGAGCCTGTTTTAAAGGGACTAAACTTAGGAGTAATTGGCCTAAGGAACCTTAATGTGTTCCCCCAGTGTTTGGATTCTTTAACCTTCTMTTGAAGAAGGTAATTGTAGAAGCAACAAAAGAGAGTATTACTCCTGTCCAGACTCAACAAATGTGTTCTGTGCAGAAATAATCTTCTCCAAATGTAGCTATTTTTCATCCTTTAAGTCATTATTTCCTCTCAAAATTCTACATCAGAAACACAATAGCAAAATTACATAACATTCACTTTTTGCTTTTGCAGAATCAATCAGTGTTTAAAAGGTACAAAAACAYTTTAATAGGTTTAAATACTTCTCCAGAAAAGAGATACAAAATGGATTTAGTTTTTATCATTTTTGGTTTTTTATTCTTTTTAGTTATGCATAACATTAGTATTCATTTTGAAATTAATTATAAAATCATGGGATATAATTTGCTCTAATTTGGTCCCTAGTATTTCCTCCTTTTCCTTCCCTCCTACCTTCCCTTCTATTCTACTGATCTTTTTGCTATTTAAATGTTTTTTTTAATGGTTTAGTTTTTATTGCTTTCAAATCTTTACAATGAAGTAAGACTGACCTAATTAACTGAGTTCTATATAACTAACTTGTAATGAGCTACTGTTTCCTTCATGATGTCTCATGAGTATGATCCATTCCTTTTGAAATAGTGTCAGTGAGAATGCATTTTGGTTACTAACATCTACGAATGATCACTTCAATTTATGTGTCCTAATCAATTCATATTATATAAACATAAATTTAAGTCAGATTTCCAAGTTTTTCTAATCAGCAGTAGTTCGGGAGTTTGTTATTATTTTTTATTCTTTTTAAATAGAGCCACCTCACATTAATGGATCTGGAAAACCTGAGGAGATATCAATAATTGTTAATAATCCACTTGAACTTGCCTGCAATGCTTCTGGAATTCCTGCCCCTAAAATTACCTGGATGAAAGATGGCCGGCCCCTTCTACAGACAGACCAGATGCAAACTCTTGGAGGGGGAACAGTTCTTCAGATCTCTAGTGCTCAGGTAAGCATCAAAGTTCATACAGTTGTGTTTATCCTAGGTTAAACTTCTTACTTGATAATATACAAGAATTGTTGAAATAAATTGCGTCTTTACATCTGCATATATCACACTGCAATTTTACCAAAGGTGGATTGCTTCTATGATAGACATGATTGGGTAAACATGACTTAAAGGAAGACAAGAGGTATCTAAAATTAAACACTAACGAAAACAACATACCTTCTTATTAGCTTTTCTTGTTTTCATGGTTCCATTCATATGTTTCCTAAAGCCCTTAACATTTGCCATATCACTCTTKACCTAACCAGCAGAAAGCAATCCAACATGCATTCATGTGAGGCTTCAAACAAATTGCCTGGTTCTTTTAGTTTGCATTTAAGGAAATTTATCTGAAATGTGAATATATTAAAGAGAAATACTATATTCAGCCGAGGACTCTGTATCATAGCCCTCACACTCCTGACAACTCTGTGAGGCAGTGTCTTCATCACCATTCTATGAATCCAGAATAAGGCACAGAGAGGTTAAGTATTTCTCTCCCAAGTACTCACTGTTTCTCAGTGGCGGAGCTGGGTCTTAGTCCTGGGTAGACTTCAAAAGCCAAACCAGCGGACCTCAGCACAGTGCATTCCTAGCATCGTGGTGCACATGCCTTCCATTCCATGCTCTTCTCTCCATTCACATGTTGCAGTAACTCAGAGAGGGAAAAAAAATCAGGTTAAACTTTCAAACTACTTACTGAATCAAAACCCTTAAAAGTTCTCCCTCTAATGAAAGTAAAATTGCATACAGTAGAATTAGATATGAAACAATAAGAGAACCATTCAAGATGGCGTTGAAGGGGAAAGTTAAAGATGATCAAGTCCCAAGACTGATCTTGATGCCTTTGCTCCTTAGTGTTTTCATACCATTTTGTACATACCTCTGTTAGAGCAATGTCTGTCTTATTTAGCTGACCTTTGTCTTTTGGTGTATTTCTTTGCAACATAGTTATGCCTAGTACATAATGGATGCTTTGCAAATTCCAAATTGTGTGAGACAAGAATTTCCTAAAATATTGTCTGTGAAAAGCAGGTCTGTGGTGTATTATTCCAAGGGGAGGAGGACCCAATCTATGACCCAGTTGGTTTAGAGAATTGTATACTGTGTTCTCCCTCCTTGTGAGGTGTAGTGCATGTCAACAACTCTGCAAAATGTTACTCTAAAGACATCTGCCTTTTTCAAACTCCCTGTTAGCAGAACACACCTTAGGAACTGTCATTATAAATAATGACTGTGGGAATCCAGAAAGGAAAAAGTGGTCAGGAAGTATTTTCTGGAAGAGGCAAATTGAAGAGTAGCCACTAATGACGACTCGGGATTGGCCAAGTCAAGACAATGATGGGGACAACATCAATGGGGTGAATGGTTAGTAGGGAAGAATTACTTTTAAAGGTTTTAAAAATGTGATGAGAGATTCCAAAATTCTTCTCCAGGATATAGAACATTAGTTTTTAATTCTTAATCAAAATGTTGTGTGATAATTGTTCTTCTAAAATGTCTTTAAGTATTTTGTTTTCAAACATCCCAGTCTTAAATTTTTTCTGAAGAGTTTTTATAGCCTACCAGAAAGTTTTCTGGGACCTATGGTATCCATTTTGAATACAAGAACTTTTAAAATCCTAGTGTCCTAGGAATGTTCAAGCAGTAAAATAAATGATTCCAGGACTTTCCTAATTTTACAAAATACATTCTTTACAGTAGTAGCACATCTGTTTTCTAACATATTCTTCACATATGTTATCAAGCATATGAATCAAGACTAACTTGTAGTGGAGACCATGCTTGGGGATTTTTAAAGAAATGATTGTGGTTTTAGTCAGATAAGAATATTGGGGGGCTGGGATTGTGGCTCAGTGGTAGAGCGCTTGCCTCACATGTGTGAGGCACTGGGTTCAATTCAATTCTCAGCACTGCATATTAATAAATGAATAAAACCAAGGTCCATCAACAACTAAAAAAAATTTTAAAAAGAATAAATTGTGCTGTCAGTCTGACCCCAGATACAACCAAATAATTTAATATCACCATTTTATTTCATCATTATATATCAAAGGTAGAGTTAAGATGTGACATTAATGTGTTTGATTTTAATAACCTCATATTTTATTGATCTGATGACTTAATATAACATTTAATTTTCTTCAGTAAGACTGCAATTGAACTTTTCAGTCTGCAGTTTAAGCCAGTGAATATTTATTTCTTCAACAGCTGTATGGTGCTAGGTCTAATATATGCCTTTCTTTCCTGATATTTTTAGATCAAATAATGAAACCCATTAAAACACAGGTTTACGTATAATGGAAATACCAACCAGTGCTCGGTTTCAGAACACTAATTGTGTTAGATAGTTTGTTTTAATACTTGTGCTTTCTTAAAAATTGTGTTTTGCTTTGTATGGTGATGGCTACATTCATTCTAGTTTATATTTTTCTCATCACCAAAGCCACATGTGAACATTTTATAATTTGCTTATTTGGGTTTTGTAGGTGGAAGATACTGGAAGATACACGTGTTTAGCATCAAGTCCTGCAGGAGATGATGATAAAGAATATTTAGTGAGAGTTCATGGTAAATTTGGCAAAGAAAAGTCCATGTTTTATATACACACCTAACTAGAAGCCAGACTATACAATGTGGGTCAACTCTATAGCACATACTAAAATATGTTTATAAATGAAGGAATACATATTTTGCAAATCTGATTTTTTTATTTGAATGACTACGTGCTCTTTTGGGGTAGTTCAATGGGGCTTTTGACTTATTTGTCTTGTTCCTGCACAAATAATTCATATCATTGATTTAAAGTAATAGAATATAAATTATAATGAAAAATAATCATCCATCATCTCACCATACAAAGATACAATGTTTTTGCTGGTAAATGTTTGTTACAAAGTATAATCTGAACCAGGTTCGCACCTGTTACAACTCTGTGGAGGAAGGGACAGGAGGATGGCCAGGCATTCCAGGTCAGCCTAGGCAATGTACCAAGGCCCAGTCTCTTTAAAGACAAATGTGATGATTCAGAATACAGTATTTGAGTTGCTTTTTATGTCAACTAATGATATGATTGACATGCACCTATGTTAATAAATATATTATGGCATCATTTTCAGTGATTCCATAGTGTCCTATTTTATATTCTATTTTTAAATATTTAAACAGACTATTTTCATCAACAGGGACAACAGTCTTAGCCCATTTCTTTTATTTTGAGAAATTTCTGTAAATACACTTGCTTGGTTACACACACACACACACACACACACACACACACACACACATACACATGCATCTGTTTACACACACACAAACACACATGCTTTTAAGGATTTTGAAACTTATTTACCTAATTACTTTCTAGAATATTTGTGTCAATGAGCCTCTCTCCAAAACTACTCTTATATCAAAATTGAATTTACTTTCCTCGAGGCAGATTGTTTGAAACTAAACAGAAGGCCTTTGTTTCATTTCATAGCCTAAATGATAGCTCGAACACTCTGAGATTTAAGTTTCTCCTCCCATCCCCAGACACAAATGAGACCTGCCATTAATTGACATATAAATTCTGTCCATAAGAGTCTCATAAACATATCTCTGTATATCAAGGAAAGTTTATGCATTTTTGTTATGATGGGCAGTTCCTGATTTGATAATATTAGATCTAATGTTCAAAGAAAATCTAGAACCTGGCAAAGGGATCCCTTGGTGCTTCAGTTTCTTTGTCACATGGTAACAACAATATGATTATATTACTTATTCTATCATTTATGTAATTGTTTTAAGGATTCATTGCTCAATCTAAGCAAAAGGTTTACCTAAGATTAAAACAATCCCATTGTTAATTATCTGCACTGTAAATTCAAAGAATAATGTTTTAAATTTATGCCTCTTATTTCATATAGCAAAACTAACATTTATTGGCTACTGATAGATCATTTTACATCTTGTTTATTGAAAGCCTTTGATGCGTTGTTCCTATTCCCAGTACCCCCTAATATTGCTGGAACTGATGAGCCGCAGGATTTCACTGTGTTACGGAACAGACAAGTGACACTGGAATGCAAATCAGATGCAGTACCCCCACCTGTGATTATGTGGCTCAAAAACAGAGAGAAGTTACAGGTAAATCTTTCACTAAACTCTACAGATTCATTCAAAAGCTGTGGAGTCTTTACTAGATAGTCAAAACCAAATAACATCACTACCAAGTACTCAACATTGCTAAGGCCAGCACAGATGCCTTCTTAGTCTTTGCTTAATAGTTTATTATGGATCAAAAGAAAGAAAGATTCATGGCACTCTGAAAATTAACCCGTGCATATATCTCCTGGAGCCCATTTGAAAAACTCTGCTATTTGTTTACCTGATAAGGAAGAAACCATCAATCTCAAAAGAAATAATCTATCTTGCCAAGTGTCTAGGGTGAAACAGTTACTGGWTTTTCCTGATCTCAACCTGGATCCCCAAGATCTACACCCCTAGATACCAGATGACTTGCACTAGAATCCTTGAACAACATAGTTACACATTCTCTAAGGTTTCCCACCTAGGTGATGTCTGTCTGCTCTCAAGAGCATCACAGCCCAGGATCCTCAGTGCCTTTTAGAACTGGCTAAAACCTTTGACTCTAAACCCTCTGATTGTCTGCATCCCAGGAGTTACTTACCATTTTTTTCTTCCTTTTCATTGTTCTTACTCATCCTGTTAGCATAACCTATTGTTTTACACTGTGTTGCCAGCAGTTAATTATAAAAAGATTTTATGTCCTCCCAAATCTAATGCATAATGACTTTCACCACTACCAAACCACATGTAGAGCTTTCGTTCTGAGAGTTATTTATACACTGAGACATGCTGCATGTCACTGAACCCAACTGTCTTTATTTATTGTGTGCCTACTATAATGCTAGGCACTAAGATTRACACTGACAGTAGTGTTGACCTTCAAGGAGATCACAGACTGTCTGAAAAGACAAAGAGGTAAATCAAAGATTATAGAGTGGATACTAGTGATGAATTATATGTTGGAGGACTAGAAGCAAGAGAGGAGAAACACATAACCCAGGCCGAAGGGTAAGGAAGAGCACAGGGCAGCCTCTTAGAAATGGGCAATTTACTTTCAAAGAACAGATATGTACTGGGGTAGAAAGAAGAGGTTCCAATCACGGGCAATGGTGCATCTAAAGTCCTAACTACAAAAGGAATGAATGTTTCTGTTCCAGGGACTGCAGGCTAGTTGGTACAGCTGAAATAAACCTTTATTAAAATCTGATGGTTCCCTATGGTTCTCGGGATTCTAGTTAAGCTTAACTCACGAGGTCCTTCGTGGTCTGACTTAGCCTCCATAGTCCCATCTCCCATGTGTGCATTTCACCCCAGACCATTGGAAGTTAAGGGCAGGACTTGATGAGTATTGATGATGGAGAAGTCCACACGGATTCCAGATAGAACCAAGTGATGTCAGTACTGGGAAAGGGTAAGCCCATTAGTGAGAAAAAAAAATGATGAGTTCAGGTTTAGTCATTTTGAGTTTTATTATCTACAATCCAAGGAAATTTCAGAAATCATTAAAAATATGTGTTCATATTTCAACCAAAAAATGTGATGTAATATTCCATATTTCCTTAAAATAAAATATCTTTGATGTGGTGGTCCTCTTGGTATAACCTGTTGGGGAAGTTCTGTTTGTATGCGGTTGGACTGTGAAATGAGAACAAAGCCTTCAACAGTACTGACAATTACAAGGTGAGCAAAGAAAGAAGAGAAATGAAGGGGATTCAGTGAGCCTGGGATCCAAAGCAGGAGACACTGTGTCATGAAAGCCAACCAAAGAGGAAGCAGTTAAGAAAAGACACATAATATCTAAATAACATTGTGTCCATTGACTTTGGCAACACAGAGGTGACTCGAGATATGGACAGTGGTTCTGCAACAGAGGGATTGAAGTAGGAAGCAAGTTACCATTGTTTGAGGAGTCAGCGGAGGGAAAGGAAGTAGAAGGGAGTGTAGAATATTTTTTAAATAGTTTTAGTTGCAGATGGGTACAATAATTTTTTATTATTATTATTACTTTAATGTGGTGCCAAGACTTTAACCCAGTGCCTCACACATGCTASGCAAGTGCTCTACCACTGAGCTACAACCCCAACCCTGGACTCTTCTTTAAATAGAGATTTGTACATAGTTACTTGCTRAAAGAGAGAGATTGAAGATAACAGGAGAAGGAGAGCTTCATAGAAGTCTTCAAGTACATATCAAAGATGTGTGTCCATTCTCTGAATCTCAACTCTGCTTGCTTTATCTTAGATTCAGGGCAGGATGTCCCCACATGGTAAAACTGTCACTAGGTTTAAGTCATCYTCACAACTAGTGATTCCAGTTTAAAAAAAAAAAAAAAAAACACAAGCTTGAGAGCTCTGGGAGGCTCAACTAAAATGTCTTTTCCTGACATTTTAATGATAAATTTTTCTTGCTGAATCCAGGCAACACCTCGAGTGCGAATCCTATCTGGAGGGAGATACTTGCAAATTAACAATGCAGACCTAGGTGACACTGCCAATTATACCTGTGTGGCCAGCAACATTGCAGGAAAGACCACAAGAGAATTTATTCTCACTGTGAATGGTAAGTGAAACATTATTCACTGTTTCACAATTTAAAAATTTAACCTCAGGCCTTTCAAAGAGATGATTGGGGTTTTTTGTTTGTTTTTTGTTTTTTGTTTTTGTTTGTTTTAGCATACTAACTGAATCCTTGTGGTTATGTTATTTATTTTGAAAAAGACAACATGTGGTACTTGTATTAGGGGTATATTGCAAATTAACTTAGTTTCAGAAAAACATAATTAGAGCTACATTACTCCATCTTAAAAGATAATGTGTAGACATCCAGTTGTTAGCAGATCCAGATGTTTTGCATCATTCAGGTCAGAATCATTGAGGGTGTCCATACACTGAACCTCTGGATGACAAATGGCTCATCATTTTATTCACTGTTATTGATGGTGGCTTGAGAGTATACAATATATGTACAAGGACTATAATTTTCTTAAATACTGCCATACTACTGTAATTTTCTTCAATGTGATACTTAAATAGCAAAACTTGCCAAAATTCGGCTAGATAATTTAGGCTTTTCCCCAAAACAGTCCCATTGGACTTTTAATATACGGACTTGACAGCATATCTGGTGACCCACACAAGTAATATCTCTAATGCTAAAATTAAAACTCAGGATTTCTATTCCCACATGAACTCAATGATTAATAAAATACATGTTCTGAGACTTGCAAGATTAACCACAGATGTGCTTTTCATTAAAACAGCCCACTTTCTGTTCTTCATTTAAAATGAAGTTGTTCTAGTGTTAACATTCTTGGACCATTATTTGGCCAAAGAGAAATAAGAAATATCATCTTTAATTTGCACCAGACTAGAGCTGATTTTTGTTCAGTTCTCTCTCCCACAAAGCCAGATTTTATACTCCATATCAGGGATTTTAAAATCCTCCTCCCCATCTATTCTTTATTTTTCAGGAATTAAACCTCGGTTCTACCTATACTAACCCAGATTAGCGTTGACGCAAGGCTCATATTCCATCTCAGACTCTTAGAATAGTCTTCAGTTCAACTGAATCTTCTCATGTGTCTCTCTTGTTCAGTCCCTCCAAACATCAAGGGTGGCTCCCAGAATCTCGTCATTCTCTTAAATAAGTCAACTGTTCTGGAATGCTCCGCTGAAGGTGTGCCAACCCCGAGGATAACATGGAGAAAGGATGGAGCTGTTCTAGCTGGGAATCATGCAAGGTAACAGCTCTGGAAAGGAAGAGTTCTGTAAGAACTGAAATATACATCTTTAAATCTTCTCATGCATATTTTGGTCTTATTATGTTCAGAATTAGTCTTTTTATCCTAATATAAGAATAAAAATTTAGTATTTTCAAATTCCTAACTCATGTCTGCTTTATGACTACAGTCCATTCACAAACCCAAACCCATCTGCTATGTGTCTTTGTATGGTATTCTTTTCTGACACCAAGGTTATTATAAATATATGTCATCAGAAACAGAAAACAAAGACTGAAAATGGACATCACCATTGTCAAAACTGTCCTCTGTCAAAATGTAAATAATCAAAAAAGGCTAAATTGGAAGACCTCACTTGTGGTCTTTCTTATAGATACTCCATATTGGAAAATGGCTTCCTTCACATTCAATCAGCACATGTCACCGACACGGGGCGATATTTGTGTATGGCTACCAATGCTGCTGGAACAGACCGTAGGCGCATAGATTTACAGGTCCATGGTAAATATGGGTTGATATACAACATCCAGACTTTGGGTCAAATGCTTTTTTGCTAACCTGTTCTATTGAGCTCATGAAGACCTTGCCACCAAAAACTTTTTATGCATATCACTTTGTATTATGAATAGTCAAGGTGCATGTTTTCTCCTCACTGTGGCTAATGTCAGCACAACACTATTTAAATTAACAGAGCCTTGTTTGTTTGTAACTGTGAGACAAGTTACTAATGACTRATTTCAGTTCAGTAGAACTGAATGGTTACTACTTGTTGCAAATRTTTTGTTTTTATTTGGTGACATTGTTTTAGTTCCTCCATCCATTGCTCCGGGTCCTACCAACATAACTGTAACAGTAAATGTCCAAGTTACTCTGGCTTGTGAGGCGACCGGAATACCAAAACCATCAATCAATTGGAGGAAAAATGGGCATCTTCTTAATGTGGACCAAAATCAGAATTCATACAGGTAAGGATAACTTATTTTAATGTTTTATATTTAATTGACACACAGTAATTGTACGCATTTATAGGGCACAATGTGACATTTCGATCCATATATACAATGGATGATGATCAGATCAGGGTAACTGGCCTATCTATCACTTCAGACATATGTCATTTCTTTGTATTGAGGACATTCAAAATCTTCTCTTCTAGCTTTTTTGAAATAATCAATTAATTGTTGTCAGCCATATTCCTCCTTTCAAACGACACTTCTGTATCCATTAAACATCTTCTCTGTACCTGCCTTCCCGACTCTTCCCCAGGCTCTGGTAACCATTATTTTATTTTCTACTTCTATGTGATCAACTTTTTTTATCTTCCACATGTAAAGGAGAACATGCAGGATTTTCTTCCTGTGCCTGACTTATTTCACTTAACAAATGTGGTAAAATAATCGTTCTACTCCTTCACAAAAGGGCTTCCTTCTCTACTTACCTAAATTAACTTTCAGAGCAGAAGGACCAGGGTGGAGATAAATAGGTTTTAGAAATGTGTGAGGGTTGGAACTGTGTGGTTTTCTTTCTTTCTGTTGTTATTGTTCTAGTTCCATACCTACCAGTTAGAAACATATTTTTTTAAAAAGAACTAACATTTTAACTCTTTAAATGGGGGCATAATAAACACATAAAGTTTGAAGAAAGCTGATATGTAGAAAATATTTTACCTTAATGTGGAACTAATTTCACAACTGAATCTTTTTCTGAATTAAAGATGCAACTTTTCTGTATACAAACCCTGTGGATGACTGTCAGCAAGGTCTATAGGATTAGATTTTTAATCCCGATTTACTTATTTAACACCTTTTGAAATTTTATAAAGACAAAGGATACAAGCACCATTTAATATAAAAGAAAAATACTCTGTAAAAGTAAATACAAGCTCTAGAATAAAAATCAAATTTTATACCTTAAAATACAATTTAGATATTTGGCAGCTTGAGTGGGGAGGAAAAAAAAAACAGCATTTTCTCCAATTTTTTTGCATTTTTCCAGCTTTACTGACATAACTTGTAATATGGCAATATGTTTTTTTAAAGACTAAATTTTAAATCACTGGGATTTTCTGGTGGCTTAGGTAAGCATCATTTCTTTTATCTCACTTGAGCTAATAAGGCAGTTATCCTGTCAAATGGTTCACTATAGTGCCAAAAACAAACGTTCTTGTAGGTCTACTTTGACAGAAGTCATTTCTAATTTACTGAAATTCTGTCATCTCTATTTGTCTCTATTTAGGCAGGTGAATTTAGTGACTTTAAGTGTCCATCTCATAGAAAATGGATTAAGTACATAAAATATGTTTCCATTAAAGCACATAACTTATATTCTATCAGTGGACAGTTTGAAATATGAAAATGGTGGCACTCGCCTGTAGTCCCAGTGACTTGGGAGGCTGTGGCAGAAGGATCACTAGTTCAAGGCCATCTTCAGCAACTTAGCAAGGCCCTACACAACTTAGCAAGATTCTGTCTCAAAATAAAAACTAAAAAGGCTGGTTCAGTGGTTAAATGCCCCTGGGTTCGATCCCTAGTACCAAAAAAAAAGAAAGAAAGAAAGAAAGAAAAAGACATAAAAATAGCCAATTAGACTTAAAACATGTATGTGTATTTACTAAACCTCTAAAACATTTGAAGTGATCTGTATTGTTTTAGTTTTAATTTGAGGTTAAGAAAAAGACTACTGAGATATATAGACATACATGCTATGTGTTATATGTGTGTGTATATATCACAATGCATATATATATATATATATATATATAAAATATACACACACACACAGGCACCATACATGTATATGCATGCTGTATTGTGTGTGTGTGTGTGTGTGTGTGTACATACACTGTATGGGAGGTTTGTGTTTGCATTAACACACACACACACACACTTTGTATGTATTATTCATGTCCAAGATAGCCATCATATGTAAAGAGACATGTGAAGTACAGAAAAGAATGAGACAGATCTGTAGTTACACATTTGCAGTAGAAATAATATAATACCAATCTGCAAAGTTATTGTGAAATTTTTAAATAATTATGTAGTGCATTTCAGATTGGGCCAGGAATATAGTCAGTGCTCAATAAATAGTGTCATCAATGTGCTCCTTATATTGTATTTCTCCTTGGAGACCAAGGTCAATCATGATATATGAATTCAGAAAATCCAAGCTTCCCTCTTCAGGCAATCCTTCCAGCCAACTGCTTCCCATCAATATCATGTTTGAGACTCCTTGCCCTATATAATTAAACTTAAATACACAAAGCATGCATCAAATAAATGATGCTCATTTTAACATGAAGGAGGAGTTGTGTTTCCTTCCATGAGCAACACAGTACCCTGGGGAACAATTGGAGAACTATATAGAAACTGATGCACAGGATCTCATGCCTTAAAATCTCTCTTCTAGGCTGCTCTCTTCGGGTTCACTAGTAATCATTTCCCCTTCTGTGGATGACACTGCAACCTACGAGTGTACAGTGACAAACGATGCCGGGGCAGACCAGAGGACCGTGGACCTCACTGTCCAAGGTAGGACGAGCCTAGCAAATGGATAGGAAGTTATTAGGATGGTTTCACGTCATCGTTCTACTCCTTCACAAAAGGGCTTCCTTCTCTACTTATCCAAATTCACTTTCAGAGCAGAAGGACCGGGGTGGAGATAAATAGGTTTTAGAAATGTGTGAGGGTTGGAACTGTGTGGTTTTCTTTCTTTCTGTTGTTATTGTTCTAGTTCCACCTTCCATAGCTGATGAGCCTACAGAATTCCTGGTAACCAGACAGGCCCCAGCAGTAATAACCTGCACAGCTTCGGGAGTTCCACTTCCCTCAATTCACTGGACCAAAAATGGTATTAGACTGCTTCCCAGGGGAGATGGCTATCGAATTCTGTCCTCAGGTAGGACCAAGCTCAGTGATTTCACATCTGTCAATTGGATTAATTATTKCTGGGTGGACTTCCCTGGACTTTTGTTGCCACAGAATAAAATATTAAATCTGCCTACATTGCTAAACTGATGCTTCTAGAAAAATACAGCTCAAATAGGAAGGGGAGCTAGGAAAAAGAGGTCCAGGGAAAAATTAATACTTCAATTAATCTGAATATAATAAGCCTGCTCACTGGTATATATGGGCATGTTTGCTTAACCCAATATTTAGCCAATCTTCTCCTTACTTGTAAAGTAAATAAAAATGTTTTTTAGGAGTGGGGTTGTGGCTCAGTGGTAGAGCGCTTGCCTTGCATGCATGGGGCACTGGGTTTGATCCCCATCACCACATAAAAAATTAAATAAACAAAATAAAGGTAGTGAGTACAGCTACAACTACAAATTTWTAAAAAATTTTTTGTTTAAACATTGAGTCCCTAACACAGGCTATGTACTTTAATAAGTTTCAGAGACTAAAAATTAGGGTTCTAGCTTTCAAGGTTTTTAGAATTCAGGACAGGAAAGGTTGGATGCTAAGTCCTATAATTTACTATTTTTGATAGTGGTGGTAGCTGTCGCATCTCAGGCTGCAACTTTACTTTTATGGCAAAATATTTTTTAGCTGTCTCAGAAACCTATATACATTGGTAGCAATTCAAATCATAAAATAGAAGCTCATTACCCTCCAGCATAATCACCAAGTACTATGTTAAGAGAACAGTTTAGAACTTTCTTAATGTGAAACATAGTTACCATAAACCTAGAAACTCCATTCCTAGATGTCTACCCAAGAGATATAAAACCATTTGTCTACACAAAAACATGGATACAGATCTTCATACAGCTTCATGCACAGTAGTCAAAAAACAATTACAAGGGCTGGGGTTGTAGCTCAATGGTAGAATGCTTGCCTAGCACATGTGAGGCACTGGGTTCAATTCTCAGCACTGCATATAAATAAGTAAAATAAAGGTCCGTTGACAGTTTAAAAAAATTTTAAAAAACAATTACAATGTTCATTAACTAGTGGATGGATAAACAAAATGTGGTATGCCCATATCAAGCAATGAAACTTAACAAAATATCGCTACATGCTACAACTTATGAACCTCAAAAACTTCATGTTCACAGTGAAAACAGGCAAACATAAAAGATCACCTGGTATAGAATTCCACTTAAATAAAGTGTTAAGAAAAGACAATCTGTAAAAGCATAAAATGGATTCTTAGTGGTCTAGGGTTGGGGCTGGAGCAGAGAGTGACTATAAATAAATATCAGGATTCATTTGGGGGGGATGGAAATGTTCTAAAGTGATATTGATAGTTAACAAAATTCTGTAAATGTAATAAAAATCATCAAATTGTGCATTTAAATTGGTGGCTCTGATGTAAAGTATGCCTCAATAAAGTTGTTAATAATAATAAAAAAAAGAACTATTCTAGACACTTCAGGGGATAGGTATGAATATAAGCCCAGACCACTATGCTAGATGTGGAGGGGAGAGACAATTTTTTGAACTAGAAGAACAAAGATACACTATACGTTAAAACTTTTTCCTACTTAGGAGCAATTGAAATATTTTCCACCCAATTAAATCATGCGGGAAGATACACTTGTGTTGCTAGGAATGCAGCTGGTTCTGCACACCGACATGTGACCCTTCATGTCCAAGGTATGGAAGGTTATTTACTCACTAAGAGATGCTGGGTGGGCTGAGGTGTAGCTCAGTGGTGGAGCTCTTGATAGCATGTGCAAAGCCCTAGATCTGATCTCAGCACCAAAAAGAAAAATGCTTGCTGGGTTTGAGGGTCTATTTGTCTATTTGTTTGCTTTGCAATTTTTAATTTATGTTTATTCTTGGAAGATGGTACTATGTAGAACTATAAACCACAGCAATATCTTGGTATGCGAAAGCCTGGAAGATGTTTTTCAATAGATTTTAAAAAGACATACAGATAACAAATGACACAGAACAACCCCAAATTATTTTCTTACTAGACATTTATAATTTGTTTCAGCTTCTAGTCTTCCAATGGAGTTCTTCTAATGCAAACTGTATCATAGCTAGCCCCCAAAATGTGGYCGATCTTTACTTTTCTATTACTCAATGAAATCAGTACTTAGGAATGATAGATTTGGGCATACTTCAGCTCATCACCATGGTGACATTTCTGCCACTGACTAGTGCTGTTCATTTTGCTGATTGGTTTTTTAGAGCCTCCAATCATTCAGCCCCAGCCAAGTGAACTAGATGTCATTCTAAACAACCCCATTTTGCTACCATGTGAAGCAACAGGGACACCTACTCCTTTCATTACTTGGCAGAAGGAAGGCATCAATGTGATCACAGCAGGTACTACCACTGTTTCTATCAGGAAAATCAGGACACATCCAGTGTCTATAATTCAGAAGTCAGTAAGTTGTTGTTTCTTTAAAAATTGGAAATACAAATACAAGTACTTACATATATTTGTATTTATGCTCATTTTAATTTAAAAATACATGAATACAGGGTCCATAGTATTTATTTGTCCTACCAACTCCAGGTTTAATGCTTCATGTAGAATATGGGCTTTATAGTTTGTTGTTTCTTTCTTTTTTTGGATACTGGGGATTGAACTCAGGGGCACTCAACCACTGAGCCACATCCCCAGCCCAATTTTTTTAAATTTATTTTAATTAGATATATATGACAACAAAATGCATTTTGATTCATTGTACACAATGCAGCACAACTTTTCATTTCTCTGGTGATGTAGTGTCACACCTTATGTGCAGTCTTCCATGTACCTTACTTCCCTCCTGCACTCTCTCCATCCTCCCTCCCTTTTGCCCAAAGTTCCTCCATTTTTCCCATGCTTCCCCCCTCCCCATTTTTGATCTCTCCACTTATCAGAGAGAACATTTGACCTTTGGTAGTATGTTTTTTCAAAATGAAAATTCATGTCACTTTTCTTTTGTTAACTATGATACAGGCAAAAGCCATGCAGTTCTTCCTAGTGGCAGCTTGCAGATCTCCAGAGCTGTTCGTGAGGATGCTGGCACTTACATGTGTGTGGCCCAGAACCCAGCCGGCACGGCCTTGGGGAAAATCAAGTTAAATGTCCAAGGTACCTGACTCGTTCGTCTCTGTCTTCAGAGATGTTTGTAGCAACATATACCAAATGTCATAGCCTTTCACCTATGGCTCTCAACATTCTTGGTTTGCATTTTCCTGTTGGATTTCATATTTTATGAAGAAGAAAGTTTGAAGTTTTGCATTTTTTTTCACATTGTTTGTGTAAGAACACAAAGGTGTTCATCATAATTTTAACTTCTATCAGACTTCACTGGGTACAGTAATCACTTCATGAACTGTGATTTTGCTTTCCATGATTTTAGTTTTATCCACAGTCAACTRTGGTCTGACAATATTAAGTGAAAACTGAAAGTGAATAATCCATAAGTTTTATTGCACTTTCTTCTGAGTAGTATGATAAAAATCTCACCTGGGACTTAAATCATCCCTCTGTCCAGCATAACCATGCCATGCACACTACCCAGGTAGTAGTCACATGGTAGCCATCTCAGTTACCAGCCATCTCTCACAATATCACGGTGCTTATGTTCAAGTTCTTAATAATGGTCCCAAAGCACAACATTAATGATAATGGCTATTCAGATATGCCAAAGAGAAGCCATTAAGTGAAAAGGTAAAGAGCAGTAAGTTATTATGAGAGAAACCACATTTATRTAACTTTTATTACAGTATATTGTTTTAACTGTCCCATTTTATTATGAATTCCTAATTTAGGAGTTAAACTTTTCACAGGGATGTGTGTATGGGGAAAACAGAATGAGCACAACAGTACCACTCTTGATTTTCAGGTATCTCCTGCAGGTTGGGAGTTGAGGGGACAACTGTACTGTGTCTCATGGTAGATTATRTGTTGTGGTTTTAAAACTATTTTTTTCACCCTACACATTTGGTTATACTTTGAAACACTGAATTGTAAAATATATTTTTTAAAAACTGCCATTAAACTAACTTGATGGAAAAATTATTCATAAAAAGCAGGGCTTTTATGTTTGCACATTTAACTGACATTTTCTTGATATAATTTATTTATCTTGCATGTACTCCTTTTGTGAATATGAAGTGATTTGGAAAGAGCTTTCCAGGTACTGAATTTGAATTWGTAGAGTCTGAATTTTCTTGTAGCRCAACTTTCTTATGGTAACTAATGAATATAGTCAAGCCCACTTTCCGGCAGATTGCAAATTCAGTTTCTTTGTATTAATATTTATTCAGTCTCAAAAAGTGGAAACACATTAAGCATTACAGGCATGTTCTTTCTCTTATGGTGTTTWTATTTTAATGGAGAAGAAAACTAATATATTACTAAAATGAAATAATGATAAACTCTGATATATACTATGTAGAGATGATGAATAATGGAGCTACCTGATGATGTTGATTAGTGTTTACAAGGCTTCTTTGGGGTRTAGCATGGGAAACACTTAAGCTGACATCTGAGCAGTGAGCTAGGATGAGCCTGGGCAGGTTGACAGAGTGTCCATGTAATGAGCCCAAAGCAGGGCAGAGAGAGAAGAAAACATGCCAGTGTGGCCAGACAGGGAACACAATGGGAAGGCAGGCAAAAGATGGAGGAGATCAACCAAACAGGCAGGGCCAGGGCATGAAAGGTTCGATGGTCCCAAGGGAAGTGAGATTTCAGTCTGTACAATGGGAGTCTTATAGGGCCACAGCCAGGATTCTGACTTGGTTTTAGAAAGACCTTCTATTGCTACGTAGATGATAGTTTAGACAAAGGACAAGACTGGAGATAGAAGAATGGATAGATTTGTCTAGATAAGGTATTATGGTGATGGATTTAAGCTCTTGTTGGAGGTGTAATAGTGAGGATTGCTGATGAATTGGAGGTTAGCAAAAGAGAAAAATTAATGATGTTTCTTGGGCTTCAGGTTTGAGCTAATGAATAGATGATAGTGCCACAAGAGAATGCAAAGGGAAGAACTAGTTTTGGGAGAAGGAAATGGTGGTTTCTGTCTAATCATGTAAATGTAGGAAACTATTAAAAATCCTAGTGGAGATGTCAAGTAGACAGTTGAGACAGTTGAGTGTGTGTGTGTGTGTGTATATATATATATTATATATATATTATATATAATATATATATATAGGCTCATGAGAGATGTATGGTGTAAAGTAAGTATTTGGAATTCATGTTAAGCCCAGGAAACTGGTTGTGATCACCTAGGAAAAGTAAATGTGGATAGAAAAAGATTGCTTAAGACAAAGTCAGGGAATAGTGCACTGTATAGAATTCTGATAAAGGAGAAGAGAATACAAAGGAGGGCACGGGCGTGTGGGCGCGCGCGCGCGCACGCACACACACACACACACACACACACACACACACACACCTTAATCCCAGCTACTAAGGAGATTGAGACAGGAGTGTTGCAAGTTGATGGCCAGACTACACAATGTAGAGAGCCCATATTAAAATGAAATATAAAAATAGCCAGTAAACACACACAAAAAGGAGAGGACAGAGATGTCAGAGGAGAACTAGACAGAGGTTGAGAGATGACAGTATGTCAAGAAGAGAGCCGACAGTTTGTTAAATGCAATTGAATTCAAGTAGGATGAGGACCCAAAAGCATTCATTTATTTCATCAATGAAGAGATCATACAAAAGAATGGTTTCAGATTTGAGTTTTTTCTTCAGTAAATGATTAAAATTATTGATATAAGAGTAATTGAGAGAAAAMACATTAAGTAATGAAAAGTAAGCATTCCAAAAGCAACCAGAGATTATCATGTGCTCTAGAGGCCTGAAAAAATTCTGAAATAGAGACTCTCCTTGCAGGTACAGTATATAATGGTAAGCACAAATTTAACTACACATTTTGGTTGCTATAAATAACTTAATGTGGATATTCATAATTATTTCAGATGTCTTTTTTGGTGGATACTTTAACAGTTGTTAGAACATACAGGCCCATACCCAAGTGGTGGTCAGCCTCTTGTAAACACTTGGAGGGGAGAATCCTTAACATAAGCCTTTTCATTGGTTTCTAGTGTAAATAACTTTACTTATATAATTATTTTCCATTATCTACTCATTTTTCATTCATTCAAATAACACTTTATTAAATATTGCCGTGATGTTTAAGACATCCTGCCAAGCTCAGTAGAAATTGCATAACTAAAAGGGTCTTTGAGTAGTACAATATTTCCCAAAACTCAGAGTTCTATTTTGAAAGTTTAAATACCTAAAGTGAATTACATAATTTATATGTTAAAGAAAATACTTTTGTTGACACAGTCTAAATTTTCTAGACATACAAACCTTCATGAATACATGTTTATCTCCTCTTCCAAAATCAGCTGTCACTTACCTTTCTTTGTTAAGTTCATACAGATAATTTTCCGAAAYATACTCGATGAATTTAAAGTTCAAAACAAAACAAACTGTAGTGCTCCTTTCTTGTGGATGTGGTGAACTTAGAATTTTGTTATTCATCAGTGTTACTTGGCTGGGCTAGATCAGTACTGTAGTATGTAATTTGAACACTCAGGCTTTTAAGACAAAGTTTGAATCTTTTCGTCTTCTAGTTCCTCCAGTCATTAACACTCAGCCAAAGGAATATGTCATTGCTGTGGACAAGCCCATCACGCTGCTGTGTGAGGCTGATGGCTTCCCACCACCCGACATCACGTGGCATAAAGATGGGCACGCAATTGTGGAATCCATCCGCCAGCGCATGCTCAGCTTTGGAGCTCTGCAAATAGCATTTGCTCAGCCCGGTGACACTGGTCAATATATGTGCATGGCAGCGAATGTAGCAGGATCCAGCAGCATGAGCACCAAGCTCACCGTCCATGGTAGGTGGTTTAACGTGGGGTATTTCAGTCTGCTGCATTATCATGGCAAGAGAAAAGACCACCAGGGCAAATATGGAAATCAAACCCATGTAAAATCAGAAATCCAAAGTGTATGCACGGGGTGGGAAGGTGCACTTGCCCTGAAAATGTTTTTTCTGTGGCTATATTTACCTTTGTGTGAACATACACATGTGAAAGAGATTATTACTAATATTGCTGGAAAAAATAATGTGCTGCCAATAATCCCTTCACATTGTGATGACTGGGATCTGTCCTTGGCTTATAAGAGGGCCATTTGTGTTCTTATGAATCTTCTGCTTCACTTCTTGAAGGTTCCAGTCATGTTGGCTAAAAACTAATCACCATATGACTATATATGGTGATTAAAGATATCAAACATTGTAAATAGTTTGAACCCAATGGAAACTGGGAATGTACTGGATTCATTATTTTTTTTCTGAGAATAGTTTGCTGTAAATAATTCTAACATTGACTTTGTTTTTTTTTTCTGGATTCATTATTTTAAAATAGCAAAATATTTGTCTATTTTTGTAACAGAAAAACTATCCTTTTTTCCCTTTTGTATAGCTAACTAAAATCTAAAAGTCAGCAGTTGAAATATTTTAGTTTCTATAGTATATTTAAGACTAAAGATAGAATCCTTATTGTGAGAGTAGTAGGAAACAATAGCAAATTAAACTGTTTTCAACTACTATTTTTCAGAGGTAACTTATTTTAATGAGTAGCTTCTGGTTTTTAGTTTTTTCCAAAAATATGTAAAACTTATTTTTATGTATATTTGAATTTACTAAAATTCATAGTTATAGTTTTGAGTGGATTTCTTTTTAGTTGAGTAGATAATTCAGCCAGCATTAACATCATCATTTATGAGTTTTTCAAATAACATCCTTGATTTTAGTTAACATAACTGAAGTATATCTATACATGATTTCTTTACCTTTAAATAAGTAATACTCTGTTTTCAACTATTTATAGAAAATGCACCAAAATAGCCCATATACTAAACAACAAAGAAATTGTTATTAAGTTTTGAAAATATTAGACCACAATTCCTACCCACAATGCAGTAAAGCTAGAAATTTGTAATGAACTTTTAATGTCAAAGCTCCAACCCCAGGCTACTTAAAAAACCTTCCTTCCAGCTAACAAGTACTTTAAAGGGCATGTTTTTCTTTTCAGATTACTTATAAAATAATAAAAATAAGAATGCTGCATATTAAAATGTGCAGTTTGGGCTGGGATTGTATCTCAGTGGTGGAACACTTGCATCGTATGCATGAGGCCCTGGGTTCAATCCTCAGCACCACATAAAAATAAACGAAGATGTTGTGTCCATCTACAACTAAAAAAATATTTTTTTTTAAAAATGGACAGTTTGTAGCCAAATCTAAAAATCAGCTATGAACTCATAGCCTTAATTTTTTTATTTTTAAAAATAAAGAACTGAAATATGTGTGCTAATACTATATCTCTATAATCCCCTGCAAAAGAAAAATAAATAGCAACTCCAAGAAAACCAAGATAAATTAATAAAAAATGAGTTAATATGATGCACCATTCAGTAAACAGATTTTTGTTTTCCAAATTATTTTAATGTTTAGGCATAATCATTCCCATATGTACATATATTTACTCATATGAAAATCATAGAAAAATAAAGGATGAAATATTAAAGTTTATACAGCAGTTTCCAACTGTTGTCTCTCACTTTTTAAAAAATCCATTAACATGGTCCATTTCTCACAAATATGTTTGAATAATTCCAAAATTAATCATCTGAAAACAAAATATATTTTGACTTTTCATTTTTTAGGTCTTTCTTTTAGCAGTAAATATCTTAGGTCTGAATCTACTAAGGTATTTCATATTTCTTTGTCACTAAAATAATCAATTCATCTTTATATTGCCTAAATTTCAGGTGGTTTGCATTTGATCATAGAAAGTATTTGGCATTACAATGTATGGAGTTATAAAATCAATATAAAAGTTTCCTCTGTGGCAGTGTAAAAAGTAGATTAAATTTCCTGATCATATTTTACTTGAATTTGTTGTAAAATATCTGAAGTACTGCAAAAAATATTTTCCACATCATTTTGTGATATTCAGTATTGAGTGCATTATAGTATTTTGTAGTGACTGTTATTGATTCATTCTCTCCATAACTGAGAGCAAAGCCAGCAATTATATAGCCATAGAAGTCTTTCTGTTTGTTTTACTTTAATGCAAAAAGCAGAAGAAACCAAGTATGGAAGATTCAAAATGGCGCATAAAAGATAAAGATTTCCAACACATTTGCTCAGAAATTGAAATGTAAATATGTTCAATAAACTCGAATACATTAGAATTCTTGCTTGCATCAAAAATATTCATTGATTTTATAGCAAGTAAATGAAGATCTTAATAATCCATTTAAATCCTGTGAAAATATTAATATATCTAGCAAAATTATCTTCAAACCAGTCTTTTGCATGTTAATTTTCAATGTGAATAAAGACATTGAACTCAACTTCCCGGATGACTCTTCACAGTACCACCCAGGATCCGAAGTACAGAAGTGCACTACACAGTCAATGAGAATTCACAAGCCATTCTTCCATGTGTGGCTGATGGAATCCCCACACCAGCAATTAACTGGAAAAAAGACAATGTTCTTTTAGGTAACTTGTTAGGAAAATACACGGCTGAACCATATGGAGAACTCATTTTGGAAAATGCTGTGGTAAGTTTAAAACACGTAAGTAGATACATTATGCCAGATGGTAAATGCACCTTCTTTTGGTTATTTAGTTTGGAAGTATATTCTTTAATAATGAAAGAAAATACTCATAAATTCAGGTTGTAAGACTTATCATACACATGTTTTATTTAAATCCCTGTAATGGGATATAATAGACAATCAGAACTCATAGTGCTCTCCTAAAATTATTTTATTGAAATCTGTTTATCAGAAAAAATTCTGTGCTGTAGCCTGTACTTGTAACCATGTCTGGGAATGATAAGAAGAAAGAAGATACAAGAGTATCTGAGATACTGTAAAGCAAATATGGAAAGTAGTGTTTTGCTTTTTCATTTTAGGTTTTTATATAACCCTTTTTAATAACTAAAATTTTAAGGACCTATGCACACTGAGGTTTTTAAATATCTTCAGGTGGTACTTCTCCAGATCTGTAAATAGTCAGTATTTGGAACACTTCAGTTTTATAGTGGTAGCCCACTTGAAGAGAAATCTATATGTAGGTACACATGCATGACTGCTTAAAAAATTATCTCACATGGTTTGAGAGAATCAAGACTTGACACCAAATACTGGACATGTTTAAACTGTAAGTCAATTTCTGAGCCTTTGTACACATCTTGTTTTTCTCCTGAACCTTAAAAATGTCTAAATTTCATTACAAAGTTGGGATAGAGTTAAATTTGAMAAGATTACAATGATAAAATGGATCCTATTTAATTTAGAGTATAATCTCAACCAATTATCCATACCCTGGGTGACCACACCTAGTGCCAGTGCCCGGCTGGGTCATCAGGCACTACTCCCATCAGCTCTGCCAGCAGACATTGTGTTTATTAAAATCTGTTTCCACCAACTGTGAGATGCACCAATACTTTATGCACCACTAAGAAAGAAATAATGCAGTGATAAGTAAACCACAGCAGACCATTGATGTTTACATTGCATCCCAATTTCAGAGATTTCAAAGTTAAAAATGTAAATTTTAGAATTGATAAAATAGACATAAATCTTTTTTGCTTATTTATTTAAATGGCTAAATCTGCCTGGTGGGCATTACCCCCATGCCCATGAATGAGGCCCCTCTATCAGTCTTCTAGACCTTAAGGAATTAAATGATTAAATAATTTCTAATTATTTAATGAAACAGCTAAAATAATTAGAGTTTAATATAGCAATGACTCATGCACCATTTAAAGAGTACCAACAATATGGTACCTTATAAATACCAAGTGAGATACATAAATAATATGTGAAAGTCTATAATAATATAAAATAATATATGTATGATCCAGATTTCTAAATACTTCATTTCCATAAAAATCTTGATTTTTAAACTTGAGCTGTCACAACCTGAGAGCTTAAGACAGTGTGTGGAGTGGTGGGGAGGGACTTACAGGGAATATGATTTGTTCTTGTTTGCCTTTAAGTAAAAATCAAATTGGGTTTGCATTTATAAATGAATAATTATAAACTTTACATTTCAAATTCTCTGGTGCTTTGATTCCAAACAAAATTTTATTTTTGGATTTAAAAAAAAAAGGGAAACATCTGTCATAAGTATTTTAATACATCCAGATGCATTGAATCATTAGTTCAACCATTAAAAATACACAGCCCCATCTCTGCAGCCAGCACTGATCCAGACACTGGGATACATCAGAGAACAAAAGAATTGAAGCAGCTTGTCCTCATGGAGCTTATTTCTAGAAGGAGAAAATAGATGATAAAGACCATAATGAAAATAATAAATAATGTGTACAATGCCTGGAAAAAAAAGGATTATGAAAATAAGAGTGGGATCAAGGTTGCAGGAGTTGGAGCAGCAGATTACAGTTTTAAGTAGGACAGTCAGGGTAAGTCCCTTGAGAAGGTGACATTTGAGCCAAACCTGAAGGAAGTGACTTAGTCAAGTAAATATCCACAGAAGGAGCACACCACACAGGGAAAATAGTTAGGGCAAAGAACTTAAGTGGGAACACACCAAGTAAATTTGAGAGAGAAGAGACCAGTGAACACAAAGAGTGAAAAGAGAAGTCGGAGGAAAATGGAGGCCAGATCATGTAGAGTATGGTAGGTCAGTGGGTCGATTTTGCCTTTTACTCAGTAAAAGTCGGACTCCATTGCAGGTTTTGAGCAATATTACATGACTGGTGTTTCCAGAGACTGCAATGGCTGTTGTAATGACAGTGGATAGTCGAGAGGACAGGATAGAAGCAGGAAGAACTACTAAGAAGCCAGTCTGGAGGCAGATGAGAAATGACAGGACTCAGAACAGCAGAGAAGCAATAAAAAGTGATATGCTGCATACGCTCTGTAGCTAGCATCTCCTAATGGGTTACCTATAAGGTTTGGAAAGAAAAACTAGAGAATAGCTCAAATATCTGAGAGGCATCAGCAATTGGAGGAAGAAATAGTCATCAATTGAGAGGGTGACAGCTACAGGTGCCATGGGAACAGGCAAGGGGACTTGAGAGTCTGTGTCCAAAACTAAGCTCCCCATTTCCCCTCCTCCCCTCCGGTGTCACCTGTAGCCATCAAGTATCAACTAGACATTCAGAGAGTTGGAATGAGGTCACTGTAACTGGAGTTTGGAGATAAGACCTGAGCTGGAGTTGCTGGCAGTCATCTGCATATGGGTGGTATTTAAAGCCATGACACTGGATGAAATCACCAAGGAATTGAGCAGTTAGACAAGAAAAGCAGACCAAAGACTGAGCCTCCTCATGTGCCAACATAAGAGGTTGATATTTAGGGGAAGACAGCAAAACTACATGGAGAAGGAGTAGCTGGGAACCTGGGGAGAGTGGTGCCCTAGAAACCAGGTAAAGAGGTGGTTTCAAGCAAGGGAGTCAGAGTTTTATGGGATGCTGCCAATCCGTCCAGTGGCATGAGCAAAGAGAGCTGGCCCTTCTACTTAGCAAGGGAAACTTCAGAACTGTAGGTAATAATGCCCTCATTCTTACCATTTTTAATTATGATAGTTTGGAAAGTCTTTGGTATCTTGTTGATACCATTGAGATTACCTGTTCTTTATTTGTACTTGACAGAACAGCAATACTCTTGGTGAGTAATAAACTTGATGTTTTCTATACTTGATGTTTAGTAAAGTCTTCTTAAATCTTCTATAAATCTTATTGCTATAAAACGATTGTTATAGTTTTGTAAGGGTTGAGATTATGTTTAAACTCCTTATACAGTTTAAATTGTGCTATGGGAAAACTCACCTGATGGTTAAGACTAAAAGATGGAAATTTAAATTGCCTTTATATAAGAGTGCTCTCTGGAGGAACAAGCATTGTAATTTTATGGATTTTATGTAAGATGATGTAAGATTATAAAATCTTAAGCACTGTGAATTTTTTTAATTTTAGCCGGAAGATTCTGGCATCTATACCTGTGTTGCTAACAATGCTGCCGGTGAAGATATGCACACTGTCAGCCTGACCGTACATGTTCTTCCCACTTTTACGGAACTTCCTGGAGATGTGTCATTAAATAAAGGGGAACGGCTCCAACTAAGCTGTAAAGCAACTGGTATTCCATTACCCAAACTAACATGGACCTTCAATACCAATATTATTCCAGGTTGGTGATTTGATTTTTCAGAAGTGAATAAATGTACCTGTAGAGAAGTTCAGACCAGTCTGTTTCCTTTAGTTCTGGGAATTGCCTAAAAGTTACAAAGGAAAGGCTGATCGCTTTAAATTCTGTAACATGTGTGCCTCTGTTTGGATTTTGCCCTTGACTCAGTATGTATGCACTGTTGATTCTTACGAAAGGATCAGTTGATCACAGGACTATATATTGCATGTTCTGAGTATATTTTTTCACCTCAGAAATAATCTCCATCCCCATGAGAAGACAATATTTTATGTAAAGGCAGCTGCTGGACCTCCCTCATTGATAAATGGATTAAGGTGGTTACTGTTGGAATCCTAAAGATTCACCTCATCTCACAGAAAACTCTGCTTCTCTTCATATGAACCAATCTCCATTATAGTGTAGATGGTTGTGTAGAAAATTCTTAGTCACTGTTTATTTTCACTACATATTCAGCTAATGCACGGGACCCAGCAGCACTCCTTCCTGGGAAGACAGATGTGTACTCATTGGGCTTTGTCATCTGTGTTAAGAGATCATCAGTAATGACGAGTTGTCCTATCCCACTGTTAGCATTGGCTAAGTGTCTCGCTAGAAAAATAAGAAGAAGCTTGAGGGTTTTCTCTGCTGTTAAGATTTTCTTTAATGACTGGAATTCATCAACTATATTAATTAATAGCAATAGCATTTCTTGCTAAAGAAAAACCATGTCTAAATCATCAGTACTGTTTTCTGAAGGCATACTACTAATTAGCTACATGGAGTTTTAAAGTTTATTTTCCACTTAATATTCAATATCATGAAATTTTAAAAAGTAAATGGGGGAAAGCATGCAAAGTAAACATACTCAACATAAATTAGATATTGGCTGCTTTAGAATCTGATTTAGTACTTGTTGTTTTAAAACTAACATGTTTATGTACGTGTGCACTGGAGGAACCAGCAAGTAGGTTCCATGCATGCATCTGCAGGAGGTGAGAGCCAGATGGAGGCCTCGGCCTCTCCCCACCCTGGGCCTCAGCTACCCCTGCAACCTCCACTTCCACTCCAGCAGACCCAGACACAAAGAAGCCACTAAACAAAGTTTGGGTTAGAAAGGCAACGTGAGCTCCCTTGGCACATTGCAAGTCCAAAAAAAAAAAAAATGATGATAGATTGCTTTTAAAAGGAAATCATGGTGGTATCATGGGAAATTCCAGAAGAACTAAGAAAGTATTGGTATCTGATCAGATTTTCAGAAATCTGTTGGTAAGTACCAAGGATGAACTCATATCTACTCAACAGACAGAATGTTTCTATAGAAAGCTTTTGAACAAGCATGAAATTAAAACCATCTCTTGGATTATTCCTTCATGAACTTTAAAAATGGACTCGAAAGCCAAGCTCTGCCTGGAGGGAAGTTTTGACTTCCTCCTTTTCTTCCTCACTGAGGAAAGAATTAAGTGGCTTTTATCTTCATACAAAGGGAAATATTTCTATCAGAGGAAGAAAGTTCCAGTACCTATTATAAACATTCCAGCCAAGATTTTCCCAAAAGTGATCAACGGCACCCACCATTGGTGGAATTGTCTTAAACGTCTTTGAAAGTGGTTCTTGTGGTACTGTACCCATGGGTCACACCAGAAGGCAGATTCAGCACATGGTTGAAAAATATCATTAATGTCACAAAACATGGCAGAGAAGTGAGAAAGCTTAAAACTCCTGTGTGTGAAAGCCAAGAAGTCGCTTCCCCTTCTGTAGTCTCAAGGAAAGGAGGTGAAGAAAAAAGAAAGAGGAGAAGAATCATGAAAAGCCCAAGTGGAAGAAGAAAAACCAAAGTCTAGGCAACAGAGGAAGAAGCCTTCAGCAGTCCTAACATAGTGTGTAAAATGGATGGTTCTCCAGCCAAGGACCCGAGAGAAACACTGGTGCAGTAAAACCCAATTCCAAATGCCAGGTAAATCTGAAGGTGAAATTCATAACTGGTACCAGTGAGGAAATACCAGATGAGAAAATGTCGAGATGCAAAAACATGCCACTGGAAATCTCTACTCTGAAAAGAGTCCTGGTCCCAGGCACACGTTATGGCAAAAAGAGAAAGACCTTGTCAGCTGCAGAGACCCCAGAAGTTACAGAGCCTGAGACGCAAGGTGAAGACCCAAGAAAGAAGCCAAAAATGAAAAAAGGAGAAAGTAACTTCATGAGGGGAAAAAAAAAAGACCTGAGACAGACTCCAAAAAAGTCAGAAGCCAAGCTCTTTACTGTTTCTGGATAATCTGCAAGATCTGCAAGACAGGCACCTACACCCCTAAGCAATGGTCAAAAAACCCCAAGAGGCCTAGTTAAGCTAAATACAGTAACTCAACCAGAAGGAAGCAGCAGAGTCACCTGAAGAGCCTTTTCTTCAAATAAATGCATTTTTTAAAATTATTTTTAATTGGTACGTTATAATTACACATAAAAGTAGAAAACATTGTGACATATTCTCATGTTCACATAGCATAATTTGGTCAATTTTGTTCCCCAGTACCTCCCTGAAGAGTTTTGTAAAAATACACAGGTCCAGGGCTGAGTGTGTATCTCAGTGGACGGCTTGATCCGCATGCACAAGGCCTGGTTCTATCCCCAGCACCACAAAAAATAAATAAAGAAAATGAAAATAAGAGTCCTGACCTCCACCCCCCCCTTCTCCACTGCAATCTTCTCCAAAAGTGAGGCCTGGACCTAAATGTTTTTTGTAACCTTCAGAGGTAATTCTGACATAGGTACCTGGTTATAAGTGGTTTGAAGTAAAATGTCTTTTTTAGTTACTCTTCCTTGCATTTGCTGATGTGAGAGAGTGCTTCTCCACGGTTGATTTTCATTATTAAAGAATAACATTTGCTTCTGAGGAAAAAAAAAAAAATTAGCATGTGTTATTAACTTACATTCTCTTCCAAATATTATAACCGCCTTTGTAAATATTTATGTCATCACCATTATGACTTAATAATACAACGTTTAAATTTATTACAAATCGGTTCATGTTGTRGTTATTACCTAACTAGCATATATTTTCATGATTTCCCCTCTGACTTGCCAAGTCAGTTGASTTGTAATTGAAAAGGTTTTTCATGTTCTGATGAAATTGTTTGGGAGGAAAAGTGTTAGTGGAATGAGATGGAAAACGCCATATTTCTGAATGAAAGACGTTTTGAAACCCAGAGAGATGTTGAGCCAGTTTTAAGCAACACACTGAGATGAAAGGTTGACTTTAATCTAAAATAATTTTTTTTAAAAAAAATGTTTGTTTTCATTCACTTTTCCTGTTCCTCTGGCTGTTTTTCAAATGAGTGTCTATAGACACAGTAAATAGCCCAGAGGGAGAGATCTGTGGAAAGGCCTCTCTTGCCCAGTGCCATGATGAGGTCTCTCTGGTTCGCTGCTGACCGACTCATAAATCTAACCTGCAAAATACTGAGCGGTCGTGAACCTTTTCCGAGGTTTCTGAGAAACATTTGTGTTGTTTCCTGACTTGTTCCCCTCAGCCCACACTGACAGAGGCGATGGACACAGTGAACTTGTTATTGAAAAGGTGTCAAAAGAGGATTCGGGCACTTACGTGTGCACCGCAGAGAACAGCGTGGGTTTTGTGAAGGCGATCGGATTTGTTTATGTGAAAGGTAGGGAAAAGCACTCCGTTTTTTATTTACACTTGATCTGTAATGAATGGTTTCTGTTTTGTTTCCCTCTTATGTAGTAATACAATATAGCTTCAGTTTATTAACCCATTCAGTTCAATTTCTCAGATGTGCAAATTCATGAGAAAAATCTGCATACATCACTTGGGAAAGAAATAAAGAAATCATTCCGCACAGTGGAATCACCCCCTGAGAATATTAGAATTGACAAAATGATCTGGTGTTGAGCATGGAAAACCCAAGAAGTTTTTAAGTGACTTTCCCCCCAGTTTACTAAATTATCCTCCTAAATGGGTCAATACTCACAAAGAAATTATCAGCACCTACTTTGAGTCTGAGCCTGTTCGATGATGTTTTCCAGAACCTCCAGTCTTCAAAGGTGACTACCCTTCTAACTGGATTGAACCTCTTGGCGGGAATGCGATCCTGAATTGTGAGGTGAAGGGAGACCCTGCCCCAACCATCCAGTGGAGTAGAAAGGGGGTGGATATTGCAGGTAGCCACCGAATCCAACAGCTAGGCAACGGCTCCCTGGCCATCTACGGCACTGTGGTAAGTTACAGGGAAACTGTTGCACACTTAAAGTTCTACAGCCAGTTCTCCTGTGTAAGTAACACAGATGAGAAGTGTTTCTCTTTCATTCCTATGTAACTCATAAAATCTGAACCACTGAATTCTCTTTTGCATTTTTACCTTTAATTTTTTGAAATTGATCTTTGGTAGATAAAAACAATAACGTACATATAGTGGGACACCATAAGATGTTTTGATATATACATTATGTAATGTTTAAATCAGATTAAACATTTTGACCTCTCCAAACACTTCACATTTCTTATGGTTAAAACATTCAAAATCATTTTTTCTAGCTTTTGGAAACATACACTATGTTATATATGGAAACACTGCTGTGCACTAGCACAGCGGAAGTCCTTGCTCCCATCTAACTCTAACTTAGTACCCAGTGATCAACCTTCCTGCAGCCCTCTGTCTGCCCTAATCTCCCCATCCTCTGCTCAGCACCAGTCTATTCTCAACTTCTATAAGATCAACTTTTTATATTCCACGTATGAGTGAGATCAACCAGCACTTGTTTCTGTGTCTGGCTTAAGATAATATCTGTAGTTCTCTCCACGTGGTCACAGATAACAAGATGACATCCTTTTTWTTAATGTCTGAATAGCATTCCATTGTCTATGTGCTCACATTCACTTTATCCATTCATCAGCTGGATTCTTTTTAAAAAACTGAGACAATATTTGTGATATTTTTCAGTCCTTTCAAGTAAATACATGCACGTCTGTTTTAGARCAAGGAAATGGAAGAGCTACAAATAGTTACAAGTACGTTATAGGGTAGATGTTGATAATAAACTGACAACTATATCAGGCTTTCCCAAAACTTCAGCAATTAGGGAAATGAGTGTATTTGCGGTATTGTTCTAATTTGGAGGCCAAGTGACCCTAAAGTGAGGTATTTCCTTGAAAAACTCCTTAACTAGAATACATATGGTTAATTTGTTAACTCATGTTTTATGAACCCGTTTTAGATGCTTGGCTTGTTTAATTGATCGAAATAATAATTAAAATCCATTAACTAATCACCTGTTCCAGTGGCYCATCCTCAGACTTTATTTTGCTTGCTTTTACTTCACCATGAGAGATTATTTGTACTTGGAGTTGATGTCACACTAAGAAATCTGTCTTTTTCATTTGTATTTTCTCCCCTTTTCCTTTATCCAAATATTACTATTTCTGAATTCTGTATATTTCTTCTAATACCAATGTTAATATGAATACTAATTTGATTACCATACAACTTCAGATTCTTAAAGAGAGGTAACGTCTTTATATAGCTTTATTTCATTCATTTTTATGTTTTTTGTGATGCTGAGGATTGAGCCCTCCCACATGCAAGACAAGTGCTCTACCACTGAGCCACAACCCCAGCCTCAGATTCTTAAATATGTATCTTCCATCCTGAAACTCTTCCATGTTCTGTTTCCAGCTACCTACTAGAAACTTCTATTTGGATAGTACATTGAAACCTCTAATTAAAAACATGTGTGGTACAGAAAATAAACACTATATGAATTTTACTTATTTTCTATACCACATATGTGTAATTTGTGGCTTCCATGCTATAATTTATTTCTTTAAGTAGATTAGTTTTGTGTGTTTTGCTTTGCTTTGTCTCCTAAATTTCAAACTCCCTAGACGGAGACCTTACTTAATATATTGTTAACAACCTCCATTATAAAGTACTCTTTATTTGTTGCTATGCACCAATTACTTTAATGCTTTTTAAGGTATTCATAAGAATAAAAATGACACTTTGAGTTAGTAAGACATTTTTAAATAGTGGTTATAAAATAATGTTACTTTTGCTTTGATTTCCTACCAGTCATAATTCTTGGAGATTGACAACAGGCTGTTAGGCTATACCTCCACCCATTTCCCTTTTTATCCCTCTCTGTTTAGGCCTAWTTGTGAGTTTAAAAATATGTAGATGTTTCTATTTCCATTAAAATGCTTTATCAAAAATGAAATTTCAAATAAACTAGCATTGTGGTGAAAAAGTGACTTGCGCTTTTCTGTAGGCTCACATTTTTTATGAAAATACTGCTTATTTCCATAGAATGAAGATGCTGGTGACTATACATGTGTAGCTACCAATGAAGCTGGGGTGGTAGAGCGCAGCATGAGTCTGACTCTGCAAAGTAAGCTGCTTAATTAAACYCTAATTCATACTCAAAGAAAGGTTGCCTAATGAAGAGTGTTCCTTTTCTTTAATTTTACAGCAAGTCCATTTGCTCTAGCTCAGTGTGCCTACCTTAGATTTCTCCTGACAATCCTGCTATTGTCATTGAACATAAACTGATCTACTTTTTCCCAGATGCTGTTCTTACTTTACCTAACATACACAGTATAAAATGCATTGACTGGTGGCACAGCCCTTTTTACAACAGATTCAGTGGAGTACCCTTCCTGTGGTTCACCACAATTCTTATAGCATGCTTACAAAGATAGCACTTTAAAAAATATTAAAACTAGAGACTAACGTAAATGAGCTCAGAAGTGCTCCTGGTGGGTTGCCATCATCTTCCACGAAATAACTGTGCTCTGGGTGGAATCCATATGCTCTTCATGGAGCCCTGTAGTGAAAGCAATCAAAAAATGGAGATTTCATAATTAGAAAACCATGAAAGTTTCCAGGGGCCCACCGCACAGTCTACAGAACCATACCGAGAGGTGACCTGAGGACAAAATCATTGGACTGGGAATTTAAGCAAACCAACTTATTTTGTAGATAGACTCAGTATTTAACAGWTTGAATTTATATTCTCTTCATTCACTTGTGAGAGATTCTCTAGACTGGTATTTCGTAACGGCTGTTGGCCAAACTAGTTCTGTAAGACTCGAGTCCATCATAGGTATTTAACAGATATCTAAGGCAATGTTTAACTAAAGGACATATATGTCAAATGATAATCTCATGGTGTGTTATTGGAGAGCATTCCATGGTCAAATTAGCCTGAGGGGGAAAAAATGGCTTTTTAAAAGTCTATTTATTTATTAAATACATAAAGAACACTACTGTGTGCCCTGCCTTGCTTAGACATACCAGGTTTCTTTTCTGTACATCTTTCCAGCAATGTTAATATGCTGATGTAAATTATGAGTCACCACAACAAGAATATAATAGGCCACATTTTCCATATAAATGTCGTTCCCCTGGCTTCCCTTGGCTCTTTGGCTCTTTGTGGGGTGAATGTAAATAGGGTACAACACAATTAGTTCCCGCTGGRTGGGTGCTCCACTGACCCAGTAAGGCTGAGTTAGATCAGCTCATCTCTGTACTGATTGAAAACAAATGGAGCATATCACAAAGCCACAAATACAATTCAGCTCAAATTAAGATTGAACCACCAGAAGCAATGTGTTCATTTGGATAAAATGCTCGTATTTGATTGATAATCATGTGAATGATGGAATTATTGTAACCTTGAAAGATGTACATGTGGAATTTTATTTCTATGTCARTTGATTGCTTTATGGAACAATTAGAAATGCTCAAATATGGTATCTAAATGAGGATGCTGAGTTTTATTTGGTACTTTCTTTGGCTATAGTAATATGAACAGATGAACTTATTTAGTCATTTTGTAGTCACTTAGTGTTGGGTGACAAATTTGAGGTATTTACATTATTCAATAGCAGTTGTGCAAAGTCATAATCTAATCTAAATACTAGAAGGGAAATAAAATTATTGGTCCTAAAACTTTGTAGAGTGAGGTTAACGTAATCATCCGTTAAGGGCACATGACTGGAATGATGTGGGGCATGTATACATATAATGCACTATAGGACTCATGGCTGAGAGTCCCAACTTCATGTGAGGGAATTATTTTTATAAAACACATATCAGTTATCCCTTTTCAGCATATTAACATCATATCAAACAACATTGTACTTCTGTTTTGTTATTAAGTTCTGTTCATTACAGATAACACTTCTCAACCTAAAAGACGACTTTGGTCTTAACCACTGTCTGAAACCTTGTATGCTACTATTCTCCAGGTGGATCATCCTTTCTAGTCTCCTGATTGTCTAAATCTATCTTCATGTTGTGTCTTCCTCTCCCACATAATTGGGCTTCCCCCCACACCAGGGATTGAACTCGGGGGCACTAACCACTGAGTCATATCCCCAGCCCTATTTTGTATTTTATTTAGAGACAGGGTCTCGCTGAGTTGCAATGGTTTCTTTGTTTGGCCCTCTTTTTTTTTTTTTTTTTTTTTTTTAAGAGAGAGGGAGAGAGAATTTTTTTAATATTTATTTTTCAGTTTTCGGCAGACACAACATCTTCGTTTGTATGTGGTGCTGAGGATCGAACCCGGGCCGCATGCATGCCAGGCGAGCRCGCTACCGCTTGAGCCACATCTCCAGCCCCTGTTTGGCCCTCTTTTTAATCATGCTAGACAATCTTCTGAAACTACTCATGAAAGACTCACAAATCTATAATCCTTTCCCACATCTCTATTCTGAGGTTTAGATGTGAATATCCACCTGCCATCCTGGCATCTCTAGATGAATGTCTCACAGACATCTCAACCTCAACAGTCCTGGATGGATCTAGTCATCATTTACCCCTAACTGCCCCCAACACATTTCTGTAATCTATTGAATTGTCTAAACAGACACCCTGTTGTCCAAATCAATACCCTAGAGTCATCAATTCTTAATTTTCAACATCTCTTCCTTTTCCTTTCCATGTCCAATGGAAAGCTTTGGTTTGACATATTGTTACTGTGGTTTATGCTCCCATATTAGCATATATTCTATAGTATACTATAATACTGGTAAATGATTAGTTACTTATCTGTCTTATTAGTGGGATATAAACTCCTTGAGCTAGAAATAATAATTGTTAACTCTGTATTCTCAGCACCTAGCACAATGCCTAGAAAATAGTAAGCTCTCTATTCACGTTTATTGAACAAACGAACAATGACCGGTGATGAAGATTGAGTTAATAAGTACTCTACCTGAAAAACAACTGAAGGAGAGACATGAATATTCATGTAAGGCATAGACAACAACAGCAATAGTAACTATGATTACTGTGTGCTTACTAGTTTAAAATTTATGCTTAGTCATCTTAATGGATTCTAACAGCAACCTTCTAAAGTAGGCACAAATTTTAAGGACAGAGACAGAGTAGTGAGGAATCGAAGCAAAAGTTGAATTAGAAAGCATCACTGAAGAGGCCATGCTCTAGGCTAACCCCCTGGAGGATTTTAAATTCTTGACACTTAAAAAAAAAAAAAAAAAAGGAGTTTGAGAATTTTTATGATTGTCAGTTAAACCTATAATCTTAGGCTTGGGAAGCAACAGTGTTTTATCAATGAATCAGCCTAATTTTTTTCATAATAATGTTACCATGTTGTCTATGAAGAAATGTTAACGGTATGTACTTTACACAGGTCCTCCTGTTATTACTCTTGAACCAGTGGAAACGATTATTAATGCCGGTGGCAAAGTCACATTGGATTGTCAGGCAACTGGAGAACCTCATCCAACTGTTACATGGTCCAGACAAGGGCACACCATCCCCTGGGATGACCGAATTCGTGTGTTGCCCAACAACTCATTACATATTGCAGCCGCTCAGAAAGAAGATACTTCTGAATATGAATGTGTCGCTCGTAACTTAATGGGTTCTGTGCTTGTCAGAGTGCCTATCATAGTCCAGGGTGAGTGTGACTAGGGGGATATTCATATTAAACAGTACCTGCAGCAACTCAAATCATAAAAATTATCATGCATCTTGGTCTGAATCTCTTTAATGGTAAGACATTTCTAGATGGGCATAGAACAAAATCACATTACAGTTTAAGACTGAAGAGAATAAAACTATACAGATTATTTCAAAATGCCAAGTGAATGATTCGAAAAAAATCCCAAACTAAATTTTTTATTCAAAATTTAGTCAAATAAATTATCAGAAATCAATATTGATTATATATTTTAGAATGATACATACTCAAAAGGTAAACAGTATATAAACGTCATGGTCTCTAACTTCCAGCAGCTCAGACCTGAGAGAGAATGCTAATAAACTGAAGTTCTTCTCTCCTAGATATTAGCTTTACCTTAAAGTAAAGCTTCCATAAGCCATTCTTCAACAATCATAGATTCAGATCTGCACCCAGTATACAACTTAACTGAAGTCTGATTTACAATTCTGGATGTAAAAACGCTGAGACAAAGTTCAATGTTTTGCTTGCAGTTCATGGTGGATTTTCCCCATGGTCTGCCTGGAGATCCTGCAGTGTCACCTGTGGAAAAGGCATCCAGAAGAGGAGTCGACTCTGCAACAACCCCCTTCCAGCCAATGGTGGGAAGTCGTGCCAAGGGTCAGATTCAGAAATGCGAAATTGTCAAAATAGGCCATGTCCAGGTACAGTTCTGCCTTCGGTTGATAGGCATGTGCTTAATAGATACGCCTTCCATTCTTTGCCTGTAGACTACCTCAGTATAATAATTGAAATGTAACTCATGGCTTAATGGTTCACCTTTGTGCAGTGGATGGTCACTGGTCAGAATGGAGTCTCTGGGAAGAATGCACAAAGAACTGTGGACGAGGCAACCGAACGAGGACCAGAACTTGCAATAACCCATCAGCTCAGCACGGTGGGCGTCCATGTGAGGGGAATGCTGTGGAAACAATTATGTGCAACATTAAGCCTTGCCCAGGTAATAATCCATCAGTAATATTAGGATATCCAAAACTCTTACATTTGAATTTCTATAAAAGCATTACAGTCTCCTTTTTGTGCAAAGATGTTATGACCTTCACCCTTGAGAACAAATTTATGCTCTCTGTTCTTGGTTCTGGTTCATGGATAAACCTGTGAAGGACATTAATCAATGTTAAGTAAAATATCTGATTTAATGGAACGTGAAAAAGGCTCTTCACTGCAGAGTACTTTTTAACCATGTAGAGAAAACTTAAATATTTACAAAGTCATAAAACCTTAGAGCTGATGAGGACTTCGGGTAGCATCTATTCCAACTATCCAGTTGAGGTGAGAATAGTGAGCCTAGAGAGGTCAAAGCCTTCCTCAGAAACACACCATTGGTGAGGGGTAAAATTCTAGTAACTCCCATTCACTAATACTCGGAACATGATAGGCCCAAGCTAGGTACTTTTTGTGCAGGTTGTTATTGACTTGGTATTTCAGGGCTCTTTCTGATTGAAGTGACAGAAATCAAACTAACTTCAGGAGAAAACTCTTCTTTCAGGGATGATTGAATGCAAGGACTTGGCTAATGGTTTTATTAGTGGGTTTTCCATCTCTCCTCTCTGCTTTCCTCTCTTTAGCTTTATTCTCCAAAACACTGTTTCCATGGGTGGGGAAAAAAATGACTGTTGGCAGCTACTGGCTCATAGTTTTGGATCTAAAGTCTCAGAGAAAGAGTTCCTCAGTCTCTCAGAATTCATATCAGCCTCGGAGGAAGAAGCCTGTTTGTGACTGGTTTTGTTACATGCTTATGTATGAACTCAACTGAGTTCAGAAGGATATTCTGATAAGCAGCTTGGTGACGTGGCCCTCCACCTTGTCCGGCTGCCGCAGAGAAATCACATGGAATACAGGGGAGGCTATTCCTTCTTTCATTCATCTAGTCAATATGTATTTGCTGAGCACCTGCTCTGTGTTCAGGTACTGTTCTAATTGCTAGAATTAGAACTATAGATAGACGGTATCATTCAAATACTGAAAGTATCATGAACAAACTCAAGGAGTTGAAGTGAGGGATCACAATGGAGAAATACGCCGTAGCTAGGACAGTCAAAGGGATGTGGACTAATCCAAAGGAGACAGGTATCCAGCATGTTGGGTACTGCATTCTATTTTGACAATAAGGAAAGACTCAAAAAGTAATGTTAAGTAATTTGTTAAGGTTACAAAGCTAGTAAAAAGTGAATCACCCACCATTACGTACAACTCTAATGTGGGGAAAGAAAGTCAATCAAGGATATGAACAGAAGTTGATTTGATTCACAAGCCTGTTTTCTGGGATCCTGGGCATTTTTGTTTGCAGTTGAGAACTTCTGTTAGATTTTAAAAATGAAACAGTGTCCTGAAATCTTAAACAAAATGAACCAAAAGCCAAGGATTTGTTTTGGTCTTAAAGAATGAAAACTCGAAATATAATAGCTTTATGTTATAAAGTAAAAAGAGCCAGAAATACCTGATTAGAGAAATTTTTATACTCTTTTTCRGCCATAACTATATAATGAAAAACTAAACGATATTTGTAAATATGCTAAAATACAGGTCAGCTTTTTCTCTTGGGATTGAGTAGCTTCCCCTTCTCACCAATGCACAGATAGCCTAAGACTATCTTCTCATTTGCTGGGTGCGGGGGCGAGGGGGGGGGGAATGGATGTAAAAATCTTAGGCACATAAGAGGTTTGCTTTTAGTGTGAATTTATTTTCAACTATGTCAAACTTAAAGGAAAGCTGAAACAATAGCATAAAGAACTACTATGTTACTCTTACCCAGATTCACTGATTATTTGTGTTTTCCTAAAATAACCCTGTTCTCTTTCATAGGCTTAGTAAAGTTATCAAAATTGGTAAATGTAACACAGATGCAAGAATATTATTTAATATCATTATCTCTTCCCAATATCCAATATTAGAATAGTACACATTCTAATATTGCCAATTGTTCCAGCAAATTCCTCATCACTCTTTTCTTCTTGTTTCTACTCCAAGATCCAATCCAGGATCACACTGACATATTTGTCTTGTCTCTTTAGTCTTTTTTTTAACTGGAACAATTCCTATCTCTCATTGTGTTTCATGACCTTGGTAATTTTGAAGTGTACAAGCCAATCATATGATGATGAGGAGGAGGACGATGATGCAGTACTAGGGATTGAACTCAGGACCTCATGCATGCTAGGCAATGGCTCTATCACTGAGCTATATACCTAGCCCTTTTTGAAATAAAATTTTAAATTGCCCAAGTTGCTCAAAGTGATGTCAGATTTCCCATCCTTCTACTTCAGCCTCTTGAGTAGCTGGGATTGCAGGTATGCACCACCATACCAGGGGTTAGGCTCATCATTTTATAGAACAGTTTTAACTTGCATTTGTCTGATAATTCCTCATGACTACATTTTGGTAAGGACACCATAGAAGTGGTTTTGTGTCCTCCTTTCAGAAAGCATATGTCGTCAGTTCACCCTGACTGGCTTTGCTCCTTGTTCAAGGTGGTACCTGCTGCTATATAGTCACAACTTTTACCTTTATAACTAAAAAGTACGCTTTAGGGAACTTTGAGATCATATATACATGATTTCACCACCAGTTCTAGCATTCATATGATGATTCTGATTTGAATCATCATTTCTGTGATCTCTTCAAACAACAATTTTCTAACTCCATCATGTCTTCTGCATCTGTTATTGATTCTGCATTGTAAATAACTTTGTCCTTGTTATTTCTTTATTTCTTGATTATATCAGTAGGGACTTGTATAATTCAGTAGTGATACTCAGGTATCATTTAATGGTTTATCATCAYTATTACCATTGTTTTTCGTGGTGGCTCAAAATATCCTGGGTTCACTTAGTGGAGGCAAACCTCTTCAGGCTAGGTTGAGTGTTCTTTTGAGATGGATGTCCCCATGATTCTTGGAGTACTTCTTTCATTCTGGGTRCAAGTAGATATTTCAAACTTGTATGTTTTTCTCCCAGTTAAGAGTACAATATTTTTAAGTTGCCAATCCTCTCTCCAAAAAAAAAAAAAAAAAAGATATCATCTGAGGTGGGCAGACTTCACCATTTGCAAATGATTGCATTTTATATATTTATAGTGATGAGATATTATATATGCATATAGTTACAGATTTATTAAAGAATGAGCATTTTTAAGTGTCTTCATGAAAAGTATGAAGAGCTTTGAGTGACAATCAAAATAGCTTATAACTCACACAGTTCTTACTTTATATCCTATACTTTCCAATCACTTTTCCTCTATAAACTCGTCATTTCTCACCCTGCCCCTAATAAGGTAAGCTCTTTTATAGTCCACATATTGCAGATGATGGAACTAGGCACACTGAGGCCAAGTCACTTGTGTGCAGTTGTACAGCCAGAAAGAGCAGAGCAGATCCTCAGACCCTGGATGTCTCCCCCACAGTCCTAGCTCCCAGCTCTGGGATCAAGTGATCTTCTATAATCAGAATTACAACCAAATGGAGCAACAAGTTCAGTTATTATATTTTGCATTTTTCTCATATAGTACTTCCTCTGTAGTTGTATCTTATTGGTTCGTTGTTTTTCTTTTTTCAATATCATCCAGATATCATGATCTTTCATGCCTTTGATTTCTTTTTTATCATTCCATTCCTCTAAAAGAAACATTTCAACCCTATCACATTTTGCGTCATGAATGTCAGTTCTGTTTAGGGCTTCCTGTACTTTATAAAAATAAAAAATAAAGGACATGAAGGTCCTCATGTGAAAACATCTAGTTATGTGTAGTAGGAACCCAACAGATACTAAGTGATAAATGTCATTCATCTATAATCCAATAAAGAAGTCCATCTATGCTTTTATATTGCCAGAGGTTTGAGCTTTGGTTAACCAACAGCCTTGAAAATAGAATATGGTGCAATAATTAGAACTGTAGAATTTTTGAAATTATAGTGGACATATAACTGTTATGAGCATCTACAATCTGACTTAATACAGAAGTAATTTCAAATAACATCTGCACCTATTTAAAGACTTTTTTCTTCTTTCCTTTTATATTTTGTCAATAGTTTCTTAGTGCAAAATCTTGACTAAAATAGAATTCTGTGTCTGTGTTTGCATGGTTCTACAAAGCATAAATAGTCAACTAATCAAAAAATCAGTTAATTAGGGCTGGAGTTGTGGCTCAGTGGCAGAGTGCTTGCCAAGCACATGTGTGACACTGGGTTCTATCCTTAGCACCACATAAAAAACCTACTTTTTTGTCTTATTTTTTTTWWAAAATCAGTTATAAAAGATACATTTTAAAATATTTAGAAAACAAAGCAGATAAATAATGATCTCATTACTTCATTTTCACTTTATTATTTTGGTGTCTCACAGGTTGTGTTCAGAGGTTATTTAGGTGCAGACCTTAATGACCCTATTCTGGTTCATATCTTGGTTAAATGGATGACCAAAGAAAACACTTTAAAACCTCCATATCTAGAAAGTTTCTTAAGCTAAAACATGACCTGATGCTGACTTCTCCATACAAGAAGCCGTAGTGCTGATTCTCAGCCTGTGCACCTGGTAGGAAACACAATTGCTCCTGTCCTTGTGGTCAGATGCTGTCATATGTTAGTTACCAAAAGGAAAGCCTTAATATTACTTCTTGGAAACTACTGGTCAGATTTTTTTTTCTGTTGTTAGGAAGCAGGTGAGTGTGTTATTCATAACTTTTAATTCATGAACATTATGTAATGGAGAAAAGTTTTCAAAAGAGTTCCAACAGTTCACACTACACATTGAATGCTCCCAGTACATGTGTAGGAACAAAGCTGTATCAGGCTTAAAGATGTAGTGTCACAGTCTGGGGGTCCAGATTATCACTGCTGAAATACTCATAGTATCTAGAACCACATTTAGATCTGTTACACACACTTGTTTCTAAGCTTCTACTTTATTCTGTTTCCCCTAGAGCACCAAGAGTAGACAAATACTTAGCTAGGGTTTCAACACTCGGTTTGTGTTAATATATGGTACTGTGATTAAATTTAATTTTAATAAAATATCCMCATTTGGATAATCTTAAGCATTTATTTTGGCATGAGGTAGGCCTTCTGAATTTCCTTAGATACAAATTCCTCTGAAAATCTAAGCAGAAGGAGAAAATAATATCATCTGTAATGTTTCCTTTGGTTCAGTTTCCGATATTTTAGATTATGAGCTAATCAGTTCATTCCAGAATCTACTTATTTGTATAGTTTTGTTTTCTTAGGTTTCTCTAAATTTTTAAAATATTTATTTTAAAAATTTTTATTTTTTATTTGGTACTGAGGTTCAAACCCAGTGCCTCGCACGTGTTAGGCGAGCACTCTACTGCTGAGCCACAACCCCAGTGCCTGTTTGTGTTTTTGTTTTGTTGTTAASAAACATGGTTCCACGACTTGAAACTCTGTCTCTTGGGGTTTTTGTAGTTCATGGAGTGTGGAGTGCTTGGCAGCCTTGGAGTGCATGCAGCGAAAGCTGTGGAAAAGGTACCCAGACAAGAATGAGGCTTTGTAATGACCCACCACCATCGTTTGGTGGATCCTACTGCAATGGAGCAGAAACACAGATGCAAGTTTGCAATGAAAGACACTGTCCAAGTAAGAGAAATACACTGTTCATACCTTCAGTTAACTAACATCATCTTCTCTAGGTCGTGTGCCAGTGATAATCTATTCCATTTGGACTGTGCCCACAAGGGCATCCCTCAACCTAACATGCCCAGGGTTTAACCTCATCTCCTTTTTAGCCCTATCCTGTTTGGGTGGGAACCAAACTCTTGTGTTTTTCTCTCGATGCAGTCGATGGCAAGTGGACAAGTTGGTCCAGCTGGAGTGCCTGTACCGTGTCCTGTGGAGGAGGTGCCAGACAGAGAACAAGGGACTGCTCTGACCCTGTCCCCCAGTACGGAGGAAGCAAATGTGAAGGGAGTGATATCCAGAGTGATTTTTGCAATAGTGACCCTTGTCCAAGTGAGTGTTGGAAACAGTGAGTCAACATTATACTTTCTTAAAGCTTCATGATGACCTGAATCCCTCTGAATTACAATACGTGTCACTTGGTCCTTTAGCCTTTGGTTTAGGATGTCGGGATGTTGTGTGGTTACAGTTCCCTGAATATTACAGCCTGAGCACACCAAGAGCAAGACCCTGTCTCATTTCTGCCTTTCTAGTTCCTGGGGTATTTTAAGTACAACATACAGTAAATAGATGTTAAATGGAATTGCAAAATCACTAGAGGATATACCCCATTTCTAGACAAAGCAACAGCCACCCCATCTGCCTTTGGAAGTTGCCCATTCATAGATTTATGCATTTGTGTTTCCTAGAGATCTTTCCACATGTTGTGGATGAATGTCATTGTTTAATGCTTCTCATTTTTAGAGCTCTGTTTTTGTCACATTATTCCATGTTGTAGCCCATGGTAACTGGAGTCCTTGGAGTGGCTGGGGAACGTGCAGCCGGACGTGTRACGGAGGGCAGACGCGGAGGTTCCGCACCTGCGATAACCCGCGTCCCTCCAATGGAGGAAGAGCGTGTGTGGGGCCAGACACACAGATCCAGAGATGCAGCACGGACATGTGTCCTGGTGAGCTTCTCCACTCCTGACAGTGGAAGGAGGGAAGCATTTTGTTTAGTGCTCATTGTCACAGCCCCATCATTAAAATAAAAGTTAAATGGGAGGAAAAACCAGGTGTAGATTTTAATACCCCTTTGTTACTGTTAACCATTCTGTTCTTGCTCCCAGTGGATGGAAATTGGGGAAACTGGCAGAGCTGGAGCCACTGTTCTGCCTCCTGTGGAGGAGGTGAAAAGACTCGGAACCGGCTGTGTGACAGTCCAATGCCATCTAAGGGTGGCCGTTCCTGTCCAGGAGATGCTACTCAGGTGTCCAGATGCAATACACAAGCATGTCCAGGTAAGTAACTAGGTTGGATTTGGGTGGGGCCATTGGCAGCACATTTTGTGAAAATCAGAAGCAGGTGCCACTCTGAGCCCCGCAGTTTACAAAACAGAGCCAAGTCTGAAAGGAGTAAGTAGAAAAACAGTGTGCTTTCCCCCTAGAAGTGCTTGTGGCTGGGTTTTAGCCTCTGACTGCTGCCTTCCAGGCTTCGTTATAAAAGGCTCCAGTTTGCACAGGCCAAATGAGAGTCCTGAGCTTGACAAGTCAAATGGTGAAGGAGAGTAAAGTTCTSTTAAGTTTGCTTTAGAAATAAAAGGTCCCTGAAAAATCAAGAAAGCCCAATTGGCAGAGTGAGCATGGTTCAYGTGAAAAGATTGGTAGGACCTGGGCAAGCTAAGAGAACGAGTGTCCRCCTGTCAGCTGCTCTGCATATCAGGTGGATTTGGAGGCTCCCTTCTGAGACATGACAACAGTCTGGTTTGGGGTGAAGTATTTTGTGGCTCAGGGAACAGGGAAATCTGGACTGGTGCACAGTCGGGGCTACAGAGTCCAGCAGAAGTCTCATGGACCCATCTAGGGGGTAAGAACTAGAAGACAACTGTTGAGTGTAGGGACTCAAGTTTCTCGGTGGGACTAGAGAACTAGGCCCATGTGACACCTACTTCCCTGTCAGTCCTGTTGCATAGGACCGCGGACAAGATCCAAGTTGGCCTACCAGGTTCCAACTGGCCCCTCTCCTCTCAAAGGGTCACACATGTCCTTCTCCTGTCCTGGTTAAGATCTACCTTCTCAGACCTCCCAGAGTCGTAGATACCATGAACACAGTACATTTCCACTTCACGTTTATTTATGGAATTCCAATGTACATCCATCTCCCCTTTTCATACATAAGCTCTATGGAAGCAAGCATCCTTTTCTTTCTTTACATTTTTGCCTTCAATACTTGTTGAACAAAGGAATTTCTGAATGTAAAGACTGAATCAACAAAAAGAAATGTTTTCTGTCACTAAGAATCAAATGCCTAATTTGATTGTATTTCTCAAAGTGGAGTTGAACAGCATTTTATTGAGATAACAGTATATAAAATACCTAGTGGTGGCTTTAAAATGTATTCAGGTAATAGACATCATATAATGAATATTTATGAACTTCATTACCAGTTTTTTTCCACTGTTTCCTGTCTTGTCAAAGCATAGGATTCACCTAAAAAGTATCCATTAATCATCTATTTTGTTCCAGTGATCAATAATTTTGTTGAACAACAGAAAGAAGACATGAAAAACAATAGGTTTTAAGGCCAAGTAGATAATGTGTTTGAATCCTTATTGTACAGCTTTGTAATAATGGGAAAGTTACTTGATGTCTCTGAACTTTTTTTTTTCCAGAATCTGCAAACTGTAGCTATTTAAAGCTACCTTAGAGGATGTAGAAAGGATGAGAAGAGTTAACGTGTATTATGTTATTTTTGTGCACGACCTTCTTAGTAAACTGATTGTCATAATTAGCAAACACACACTTTATTTTGCTTGTTGGACTGGGTGTTGATTTTCTTTGGCTTCGGAAATACTGTGATGTACATAGATTGAAAAGACCCTAGATTTATGGGGGACAATGGGTGTTACGTGAAAAAAGAATTTTTTAATATACTTCATTCATTTTTATGTGGTGCTGAGGATTGAACTCAGTGCCYCACACATGTGAGGCAAGCACTCTGCCACTGAGCCACAGTCCCARCCCAAGTAGAATGTTTTAAAGCTTATTCATTCCACTTTTGAATTCAGATGTCATACGACCTCTTTGAAGTTTGAGAAAATTTGTAGCATCTCTGAGCATTGGCTYTCTTTCCTCCCATGTCATGTTTGTGAAATTGCTTCCTTAATCCAGGAATGTTTTTAATTCCCCCATTAGGTGGGCCCCAGCGCGCCAGAGGAAGTGTTATTGGAAATATTAATGATGTTGAATTTGGAATTGCTTTCCTTAATGCCACAATAACTGACAGCCCCAAATCTAATACTAGAATAATACAAGCCACAATTAGCAATGTGCCCCGTAGTCTTGGTAAGTCTTTCATATACTTCTTTATCGGTTTTATTTTTTTTAATTTTTCATTGCTTTATTCACATTTTTTCTCTTAACTGTTTCTGTAAAAATTTTATGAGCTCTCATTATTTTTTGCATTACAATTCTTAATACACTTTTATACCACAATTTATCATTATCTCTGTATACAAGATATGTTGACACCAAATTCACATCTTCCTACATGTATTTTGTACAACAATGAGGATCTCCTTCCACCATCCATGCAATTCCCCTTCTCCCACCCTCTTCCTCCCTACCCCATTTGAAGTCACCCCCCCTTAGAGAGGACATTTGTTTTTTGGGGGATTGGCTGACTTCACTTAGCATAATCTGCTCTAATGCCATCTATTTCCCTGCAAATGCCATGATCTTATTATTTTTTAGTGCTGAGTCCTATTCCATTGTGTATAAATGCCACTTTTTTTTTTTTTATCCATTCATCCACTGAAGGACATCTAGGTTGGCTCCACAGTTTATAGTAGCAGAATTCACAATAGCTAAACATTGATGTGGCTGTGACCCTGAAGTACGTTGTTTTTAGGTCCTTTGATTATAGTCCGAGAAGAGGAATAGCTGGGTCAAATGGTGGTTCCGTTCCCAGCTTTCCAAGGAATCTCCATGCAGCTTTCCAAATTGGCTGCACCAATTTGCAGTCCCACCAGCAGTGTATAAGTGTACCTTTTTCCYTGCATCCTCACCAGCACTTGTTGTTTGTCTTCATAATGGCTGCCATTATTACTGGAGTGAGATGGTATAATAAAATGCCTACAGCAGAAGAATTAAAACCAAGAATCAACAAATGGGATGAATTCAAACTAAAACATTTTTTTTCTCAGCAAAAGAAACAATCTGTGAGATGAATAGGGAGCCTACATCCTGGGAACAAATTTTTACCCCTCACACATCAGATAGAGCGCTAATCTCTGGGATATATAAAGAGCTCAATAAGATAAGCACCAAAAAAATAATAATAATCCAATCAATAAATGGGCCAAGGACCTGAACAGACACTTGTCAGAAGAGGATATACAATCAACCAACAAATATACAAAAAAAATGCTCATCATCTCTAGCAATTAGAAATGAAATTAAAACTACTCTAAGATATTTATATAATTTCTGGATTTTGCTACCACTAAATAGCATAATAGAGGGCTTTTAAAACCCTATTTCATTGGTGAAGAACTGGACATGTTTTTTGTTATTCAGCCTTGTTTAGTATTCATCCTTGTGAATAACCTACTATGAAAATAATAATAATTAACAGTAAATATTTTGCTTTATCTTTTTTCTTTAGGTCCAGCAATGAGAAAGATAGTTTCTATTCTAAATCCCATTTATTGGACAACAGCAAAGGAAATAGGAGAAGCAGTCAATGGCTTTACCCTCACCAACGCAGTCTTCAAAAGAGAAACCCAAGTGGAATTTGCAACTGGTTAGTGTCAACTGAACTCAGTAATCCATTACTATAAAAAATGATGGCCATAAAGATGGTGGTTAAGAAAAATGCATGTTTCCACAGTCATTAAGTTTTTGATGCAATCTCATCATAAATAATATAAATGCAATTTTGTATTTTTGTGTGAATAAATATTAGCATGAGATCTATAAGAGGCGAGGGGTTCTCAAACAGTATTATAATTTTTATATAGCCTCTCCAAGGTTGGTCAGCCTCAGTAACAACGACCTTTAAGAGGAAAGGGGGGAGGATGGTCTCTTTAATAAGCATTTAATCATCCCAAAAGACAAGTGGGTCTTTCCGTGGCCATCTGCTTAAGATACCATCTTCCTACTCTCTGAAGTACTGGAAAGAAGCCCTACACCAGACTTGTGGTCTTTGCCTTTCAGCCTGGTGAAGCTGCCAGCCCATCTCACAGGCGGTCCATTTCATACAAGTGCTTTGCTATTGCCCATTATCATTACGCTTTATTTTTGCTACATAGAAATTTTTAGGAGAAACTCCATTCAGGAAATCTGACTTTTCAATTGGGAAGCCAAGTGCCAGGTTTATTCTATTGGTTGATTCAAGTTTGAACCCCAGCAACAYAGCTGAACTGTTCTGTTAGGTAAATCTGCTCTGTGCTTACACAAGCCATATGTATTGTGCTGTAAGAATGGATGCATTGTAATTCCCAGGAGAAATCTTGCGGATGACTCATATTGCCCGGGGCTTGGATTCCGATGGTGCTTTGCTTCTGGACATCGTGGTGAGTGGCTATGTCCTGCAACTTCAGTCACCTGCAGAAGTCAACGTGAAGGTAAATGACAAATTTTCTCCACTGTTTATTAGAGTCTGGGTCGATACCTATAGGGAGAGCAGAGAACTTGTGTCCTTTTTCTTATTCACTTTGGAGAGTAAACGTGTAAACCACCGAGGTTATAAATGATTATCTGGTCTCTGTTTAAAATCGTGGACAAGCCTTAGAAATTCAGTTTTTATGACCCTGCTTATCAGGATCAAGATCACTCCTATGTTGGTTTAAGCCATTTGTTTAATTTTCTTCAGGCAAAGATAATAGTTAATTGTTGCATAAAAATTAGTGTGTAGCATCCATTAAAGAAAAAAATATGTTGTGAGCCATATTGATCTTCAAATTATTCTMCTTAGGATTACACAGAGGATTACATTCAGACAGGCCCTGGACAGCTCTATGCCTACTCAACACGGCTCTTCACCCTCGATGGCATCAGTGTCCCCTATATGTGGAACCACACCGTTTTCTACGATCAAGCACAGGGAAGAATGCCTTTCTTGGTAGAAACCCTTCATGCATCCTCTGTGGAATCTGACTATAATCACTTAGAAGAGACATTGGGTTTCAAGATTCAGGCTTCAATTTCCAAAGGTAATTTGATTAAAGGAAAGTCCATATCTCCATGTCACCTAGTTCTAATTATATCAATGCCATTAAAAATGAAGATGTGAAGGCTTTGACCTTACATGGTGATATCAGGCTTTTCATGTGTGTTATCTGTGTTTTGTTGGAGGTAAAACCTGTGGTATAGCCAATCCACTGAAGTTCTAGTGCATGCAGTTTACTAATGTGCTCCTTCATACTGCATGGTGAAGATGTAGGAATAAAGTCCATTGGTTATTGTTCTCAACCTTTTATTAGTCTAGGAACTTCTAAAATTCCTAAAACATCTAAACTTATTTCTTCAAAACACCATTCAAAAAAGTTTCCATATATTAAAAGCAGGTTTTAGAAACTCTATAGCAATAATCAGAATTTCAACTGTCACTTCTTGTTCCTGGAGCTGACAATTTTTGAACTGCTTTCCATTTTCCAAGCAATACTCTCTGATAGGTGGTTTTTTGATGCATTTATTCCCCAAGATTTCCTTTTCAGTCATAAAAGCCCCAACAGCAATTAGTGTTCCATATCCTGTAGGGTCTTGAGGCCGGGAGATGCTTGTGTGCGGTTAAGTTATAGACACAAAATGTTTGCGTAACTTTAGCTTTGCACCAAGGCTTCGTGAGTACACTTAAAAGCATTCATATTGACCTTGTGTGTGCTTTGCTTTGGGCTGACTTTCCTAAAACACAGCCAAGTAGATTTTAAATAACAGTGCAAGAAAAAAAAACCAAATAACAGAAAAAGCAAAATTCATCTTTACAAGTTACTCTTGCTTTTATCAGCTGTCCCCATAACCATTTTCTTCTTCACCATCTATCAGAACTGCTTCGTCAAGTTTTGAGATCATAATCATTGGAAAATATGAGTTCACATTTTTTTTTCAGATAATCAGATTTGTGAGTAGCATGGCCACTAACACCTATGGCCCCACAGCAGCGCTGATCTCTCATTTTACTCTTGGGTACATGTGTAGGCCATTTGGACAAGAGAAGAGCCACTGAAATTGAGGGCTATATTTTTTCAATTATGCCAGAGTTTCTAATTTAACTGCTTTTTCTACTATTTTCAGTATACCATATAAATATAACTTGGCAAAGATGTTGGTTATAAAAGAATTTATGCCAGCTGGGACCAGAGGAATTAAAATGATTTTTAGAAAGTCATGTATGCTATCTTGCATTATCTAASCTGTGACTGAATGGAGGCCTTTGTGCATCTTTAAGGGTCTCATTGGGTGGTSTGGGCATTTTAAGGCCTCTTACATGCTTGGATAATAAGTCTCTGAATTACCCCCATATGCAAGCCATTCCTTGCTGACAATGTTCCTTTGAATTTCAAGAATTGTGCACCTGCAATTTGTTTTTGAGTGACCACCAGGGGGCGAGCTTGCATTCTTGGTGACTTAATCAGAAAACTCATTCTAGGATTCTGTGCTAAGAAAAAAATACAAAAATTGTCAAAGGTGAATGCTTAGGAAGTTCCATCTGTTATTATTTGTAATAGAAAAATAATCAATAAACATCCTGGAAGTAGACTATAAATATGCAAGTTATGGCATAGATGTAGGATAACTTCCTTAATAATCATTTGAAATTTTTAAGAAACATTAATTCACTTGTTTAGCAACTTTTTGTTGAGGGCAACATGGTGTAAACAAGTGAAAAGGAGAATATTTGTGACTTAATAATTGAAAATCAGGGAATAGTATGATCCAGACCTAGACTGCCTACAGGTGARTGATTATAAGAAAACCTTTATACTGGCTGAAAAACAGGTTATCATATCTCTTTCTTACCAATTTTTATAAGGAGGGGAACTATTTTTTATTAGTAAAGCTAAGCAATTATAAATCTATTTTTTAAAATATTTTGTTGTATTGGGGATTGAACCCAGGGACCCATGCAAGAGATTTGCTACTAAGCCACACTCCAAGCTCCTAATGTAATTTAAATATGTATTTATTAAAATGACTGAAAAGAAAAACCACAGAATGCCTACAAATGTAGTTTGTTTCAAAGTAACCAGATTAGAGAATTTTATTCTATACCTTTTGAAGTTTTTACTATTATACATTTTTATAATATAGACAACATATTTAACAATATAAAAAGAAACAAGAGGAAAATAATCCATAGTTAGTATATATTTTAATATGAAAATCTTTGGACAAAGAGGTAGTCATATGCCTGAGCCTATATATGTACAATCCTACTGTGATTGAGAGTTTTTTTCAGGGGATTATAGAGGTGGCCTTAAGCCACTCAGTAACATTTTTAATGAAACAAAATATAATCAGACATCAATTTCTGTGACAATTGCATTCCTGGAAAATACATTAAAGATTYAAATCACATGAAAAAATGTTTGGTACACATGTTCAAAGCTTAGACAATTACAGCCTTCTCATTTCCTAACAATCTTGCCATACTATCCCACACATTTCAGTATTGTAAAACCAGCCGAGGGTCTTCCTAGTCACAGAATTTTAATATCCTTTTATTGTCATGACAACCAAAGTATCKCATAACTTCCCAAATGAAAGATTGTCTGTCCCAATTGAGACCAAAAATCTAAAGTTACTATCTGGTAATAACTTACTAGGTTTATACGATATGTTATTTTCTATAATTATRTCCCCTACATAGCATACTAGTTGGATTAAAGAATGTGTGAATAAACAAATGAGTGGAACATAAATTATAATCACCACCTGATTCAGTGGTGGAAAGTCGCACATTCATCTAAGTCTAGCTCCAGTACATTATTAGCTCTTTGATCTTAGGCAATTTATGTGACCTCAGTCTCAAATTCTTCATCTGAAAATTGGGCACCGTGGCCCTAGGGGAATTGTGAGGTTTAAAAGAAAGCAGTGAATCACGCAATGGTCACTTAGCACATGCTCTAGACATTTCTTTTCCATCCATCCTATTCCCACTCCCTGGGAACACTCAGGAGGAGTTGCATCCTCTTAGGAAAGAGATTCCTTATTACTTGTTCCTCTTGATGTCTAACTTAAATCTGTTCTAGAACAGTATCCTCGTTTCCCCTTGCTTCAACTCCACAGGAAAGGACAACATCACATACTGAGTGTTTTCACCCGAAAGATCCACAAAAGGAGAGGGCTGCTTCATGAGGTTCTTCTTTCCACTGACACAGATTTTTCTTTGGGCGGGGGTTACCAGGGATTGAACTTAAGGGCACTCGACTCTCGACCACTGAGCCACATCTCTAGCCCTATTTTTGTATTTTATTAGAGACAGGGTCTCACTGAGTTGCTTAGAGCCTCCCTAAATTGTTGAGGCTTGCTTTCAACTTGCAAWCCTTCTGCCTCTGCGATTATAGGTGTGTGCCACCACGCCCGGCTTGGTGCAGATTACTTTAAGTTGCTTGAAAACTGCAAGCTTTCCTCCTTCCTAAACACAGCAGAGTAGTGATGACTAGAAGACAGCACTTTGCCTGGGCTGTGCATAGCGTACACAGTTATGATAAATAAAAAGAATTTGAGATAAAGTRATTTCATTTCATTTTCTTTTGACTGATATGAACAACCTAAACAGARAATCTGTTTCCGGCAGCCACGCGCCAGTCTCTGCACAGTGATTCATTTAGTTCTTGGTTGGGAAACAAGGCGAGTTTTCCTTTCTTGCTTGTTTCCACCTGTTGCATTTGTGTCGCGTGATGGAGTGGTGCCATATCTCCCAGGGGAGACTGTAAAGGAAATGGATGCTACTATTCTAATAAACTGGTTAACTTTGCTCTCCTCTTTCATAGGAGATCGCAGTAACCAGTGCCCGTCTGGATTTGCCTTAGACTCAGTTGGACCTTTTTGTGCTGGTAAGTGKAGGAATAAATAAAGCATTTTTAATTTTATAAAATTGTCACTAATAYGTATCATTTAGTGGACATCATCTACCATTTTTCTAGGTTTTTGATCATCACAACAGTTCTATAAATGTCCCATTTGACAGGTGAAGAAGTTGAGATGTAGAGAATTAGAATCACTTAGCATCAGGTGGCAGACTAGATCTGAATTTAAATTTTTTTTTTTTTTTATAAATCCCAYGCTTTGGCAGGTTGGCGACAATCAACTGTGTCAGGGCTAGTAAGTGACCAAGTACAGAAGTGGAGAGAGCAAAGAGCACTAAACTTCGCCTAGCGGCTTGGTTGCCATGGGTGCACGATGGAATGATCCAACATGACATCACCAAACCCTAGAACTGCTAGGTGGTGCTATACAGGAGGATTGTGGACCTTTGAATAACCACTAACTTCATCCTACCAAGTCCAGTACAAGAGAGTCTCAGAAAAATGAATAGTTCTGTAAATGACTTAAGGAGCTCAAATTTGTATACTCAGTTATTTTCTTYCACTTATGGGCAATGTAATCCAGTCTAACAGTGAAAGGGTGGTCTTCAGACTGCCCAAATTTCAGCTCTGCCAATCATGACCTCAGGCAAGTTGCCTAAGAAAATCAATTTAAATGAGTAGAGATTTATTWTTCTTCACAATTTCAGAAGTTCCCAGCTATTGTTTCTGGACAAAATATCATGGCTGGGAGGGCATGGAGGAGCATAGCAGTTCTGGTGACTGGGAAGCAGAGAGAGAGAAGGGAGGGGAAGAGACAGAGATGAACCAGGAACAGGATATTCCCTTCAAGGACAGGTTAGGCCCCCCTCCTGACGTTTCCACCATCTTCCAATAATGCCACCAAATTGTGAATCCCCCATCAATGGATYAACCCACCGATGAGYRTAGAGTTCTCATGATCCAATCACTTCCCCAAACACCATCTGTGAACWTTGCTGCATTGAGGATGAAGCCTTTTAACACAKGAGCCTTTGGGGGACATTCCAGTTCCACAATATMACACTATMACCTGTTTGTCCTTCAGTTTTGTCATGCAAAATGAGAATAGCATTCTCCTAGAAATGCTCTGAAGAWTAAGTGAAAACTGGTTTAAAAAAAATTAGATGGTAGTAAATGGTAAATACGTTTTAGGTAACATCACTGTTGTTTGAAAGTAAAATATTCACTACCGGAGATAATTTGTAGACATCAAATTCATTTTTGTTCCATAATTCCATTTTGTGGCACTCCGAGCATTCTCTTATGAAATTCAGGTCAGTGCATTGACTTCTGCAAGCAACTGTTTTCACTGACTGCTGTCGCTCCTAAAATATCAAGTCTGCATGCCGATTGGGTTGTATTTCTTCTTCTTTCAGACGAAGATGAGTGTACAGCAGGGAACCCCTGCTCCCATACCTGCCACAATGCCATGGGAACCTACTACTGCTCTTGCCCCAAAGGCCTCACCATCGCGGCGGATGGAAGAACGTGTCAAGGTATTCAGACACACACTGAAGCCACGGGCAAGGAATCTTTGGCATAGGAAGAGCATGTGGACCAGTCCTCTTCTCTCCTACTACCGCTGCCTATAGCTTGGGGATAAACAGAAAGGTCTTCATTGGGTTGAGAAAGAGGGTTTCTGCTGAGGCACCTTCCTGAGGGCATGCTAAAGCAGGAGTGCCCGAGTGACTCACTCGGGACCTCAGAAAGGCAAAGGAATATTTTTAAAGCCACCTGATTTATAAGTGACCTTACTGGTATCAATTAGATTTTGGATCAGTTAGATTTCACACCAGCCGTGCTTTGGGCCTGACAGCTATTTAACCTCCTAAAATGACTCAGCCAAAAGATGTTGTCTTCTTACCCTTTTCTGTTTCTCAAGTGCTCTTTGTGTTCATTGCTTTCTTTATCCCCATTTCACAGCTGGTTCTTGGGTCAAGTTTTCTTTAACTCACCTCCGWTGAATGAATCCCTCCATTGTAGATATCGATGAGTGCGCCCTGGGTGGACACGCCTGCCAAGCTGGTCAGGACTGCGACAACACCATTGGATCCTATCGCTGTGTGGTACACTGTGGAACTGGCTTTCGAAGAACCACAGATGGGCTGAGTTGTCAAGGTATAAAAATGGCTGCTTTTTTTTAAATCTTCGTGCTAGTAAGAATTAGAYCCCTGTTTGCATCCTTCAAACTCTGTTAGGAAACTCCAGGGAAGATGATGAAGAGTCAGTCATCAAGCAGGGGAGACTCTAGTCCCTCTGGAGAACTTAAACCAGCACCACACTATACATGTTTTGTAAGTTGAGCTTCTTGAAAAGCTCTTATTTAGATGCAGTGTTCCACGGCTATTTTACATGTTTGTAGCTCAGTGGTTTTGAAATAACATCTGCTTGTTACCATGTACAACACACTCTAATARAATCTTGGTTTGCAAAACTCCATTGTGTAAGACTAAATGCAGACCAGAATATTTATGGAAGTATAGTTTTATATAGACTTTATTTTTTCATAGAAGTTTTAATTTCAAAGCAAATTTAAGCAGAAAGTACAGGGTTTGCATATGCCTGCTGGCCTCTCTCCCACTATAAGCATCCCACCAACAATGGTACGTTTCTTGTAATTGAACATACACGAACATATCATCTAGAGCCTGCAGTTTAGAGTTCACACCTGGTGTTGTACAAATTTGTAATGACATATCTACCATTATAGTGTCATACAGAGTAGTTTTACTGCCCTAAAAATCCATTCCCAGCCTCCCTCCAACCCCTGGCAATTACTGATATTTTTATTGTCTCCATAGTTTTACTTTCTCCAGAATGTTACTCAAATGTATACAGAATGTAGCCTTTTCACAAAGGCTTCTGTCACTAAGTAACATCTTTTCTTGTCTTGAAAGCACATTTCTTTCAGCACTGATTAATGTACCATTTTATGAATGGACCATGGTTTATTTATGCATTCACCTGAAGGACATCTTGATTGCATCATAGTTTGGGGCACTTTATGAATAAAGCTGTTACCAGGATTTTTCAGGGGCAAAAAAAAAAAATCCCAAACTGAAAGTCTATCAATAGTAGAAAGAATAAAGTGTGATCCATCTGCACCATGAATCATTGTATAGGCATGAGAAACCCCAGGTGTAGAAAAGAGGGTATAACTTTTTTAGAAAAGATCATGTAACTGGAAACARGCAACTGAAGAAAAGGGGAATGGGTTTATATATTTAGGTAGAGATATATGCTTGTGGAAGAGAGGTGGTGTTATAATAAATTGTTAATGTTGCTTGCCTTTGGCAGGCAAGGAGGCCAAGCAAGAGGGGAAAAAAGGAAAAAAAACTAAAYTGAGAAATGTTTTAAAAGTATCTGATCATGTTGCCACACTTACGCAAGTTAACTCTGTGCCTTTTAAGAGGTTAAATTAACGGGTCCCAATTAGCAAACATACAAAATAAGAGCCACTCAGTAATCTCGAGTTTTGGAATGTGAAACGTGGACAGGAAGAGCCTAAATAATGATTATTCTTTGGAAAGGTTTCAAATCAAACAATAGAGAAGGTACAGGTGTTTGAGATCACATGATCCCAGAGATGGAAGAGATTTGATTGCGTCTATGGGTTTGTGAGAATGATGAAAAAGGAATGATTGTTGGTCYATATGCATGAACACTTCTTGAATGGGCATAGTCTCCCTTCCTTTGGGGCTTGAGGGGAGGAGAGACYGTACAAAGTACAGGCCAATGCTCAAGAGTCTGGAGATTTCACACCTGCACTCCATGTTTCATTARGAGCCAGGTGGTTTGGGGAAGAATTTGGCAATGATGGCAGAGAAGGAAAGATGTTGCTGTGATCAGTCCAACACAGGTGATAAAGATCTATGTTAGACTATGAGCATCAAGAATGGGGAACAAAGTCAACTGCAAGAGACCTCATTGCTTGTTTTTCCCTGGCTTCTCCCCAGTCTGTCAGCAGCATTGCAGGCTAAAGCTTCCAAGAAACAGGAATGGAAGCCATATGGCAAAACACGTAAAGTRGAGAATTGTGTCATCAACATTGTTCTGTATCCACCTTTAAGGAGTGTCAACGAGAGATCCCCTCTCCAGCAGTTAATCGTAGCAGTTATTTAGCAGAGCATTCCACAGCATATGTATTAGATTCATTTTAGAGAACACTTTAAAATGTTAAACACTTGGGATAATTAACTCAGGTTTCCTAACAGCATGAAGATTTTGTTTTGTTTAATAGATATTAATGAATGTCAAGAATCCAGTCCCTGTCACCAGCGCTGTTACAATGTCATAGGAAGTTTCCACTGTGGATGTGACTCTGGGTATCAGCTCAAAGGCAGAAAATGCTTGGGTAAGAAAAGGGCTTTGARTTCAAAGCAATGATAGCTCTGTAACGTCTTAATTCTGATCTAAATGCATATGTTATATCTAGGCACTGATTCACATGTAAGATACCAAGCATGCAATCCATGCAAAAAAAAAAAAAGTGAAGTCAAATGCCCTTTTACATGTTTAATTTCCTAATTACATAACCATTTTTTAACATTTCCCCTACTGAGTTTTTTTGTAAAAGTATAACATGTACATACATAAACATTTTTCAGTGAATATTATATATATAAAAATTTTATTTTTCGAGGAAGAGAAAGCAGTTGGTATGGCTACCAGCTCTGTGAAGCAATACGTTGTCTATTATTGTCATTCTGTTTTACAATGTGTTACATACTTTGTTGGATTTTAAGCAGTTTAAGCTTACACAATGCAAAGGACAATTGTGTGTGTTCATAATATCCTTAGAACCCAAAGAAATGGTTTCTCTGGAAACATGGCAGAAATAATTTTCTCAATCTGTGTTGCCTTTGTTCTTGTATCAAGATGTGAACGAGTGCAGACAGAATGTATGCAGACCAGATCAGCATTGTAAGAACACTCGAGGGAGCTACAAATGCATTGACCTTTGTCCAAATGGAATGACCAAGGCAGAAAATGGAACCTGCATTGGTGAGTATCTGGATATTTTGGTGACCAAAATCYGTAAAAACAACAATAGTTCAAATAAGAGATCCCTTTTAAAGACTAATGAGGAAAGTCAATTCAAGCTAACAAAGAAGTCTTTTTTCAGTAACTTCTCACTTCTAGATTGATTGAGCTCTGAGGTCCCAATGTCATGGCTACGCCAGGAAATGCAGACTAATGACCATTTTGTGCTCCTCCAATTACACATTTGGTTAATACAAATTTTTTGATGTCTCCATGAATTTATATTATCTCATATTTCTAATATGAAATTTAGCATACATATTTAGAACTTCTTAGTAGGGTTAAGAAAAAATTACATTTATRGAGATTTATTAAAACTTCAAAATATAATTTATTGTCTGGTCATTGATTTGACATTTAAGAATATTTAGTTGTAAAATAATTATATTTTGCCTGAAGTTTATTCTGTGTGTGTTATCAGTATTGGACTACTGAGTTACCAGATGTCAAATCAATGACAAGAAAATAAATTATATTTTCCCTAAGTTTGCTCTTTGTATTCCTATTCTATACCAGYCTACCCAAGTTAGCAGAGGTAGAAACTACAGGATTTATAAAAATAAACTGTCTATGGGGTTAAATTGACCTACTCCCTCCACCAAAAAAGGGGAAAAGATACACAATTTAAGACAAGATAAAAATAAAGGGCATACAAATGCCCAGAAGAGTGACAATATCTAATAGGAATAACCATCAAAGGTGTCATGGAAGTGATACATTTCAATGTAGACTTCAATGACATAATAATTGATARAGTTGACAGGGAAAAGAAAGCAAGAAAATCTGTACAAGGGGAAATATCTGGGCATAAGGGTAGACCATTAAAATGCTAGACATGTTAAAATGTTCAAGACAGCTATCTGTCCTTGCACAAGTCTTACAATCAGAGAAATTTCAAGTTTCTCATTGTAAAAATRGTAGTTTTTCTAAGAAAGAATCCATTCTGAAATATTCTTTAGTAAAGTTACAACATGTCTTAGTTTTGATTCAGAACAATGATAGTAGCAGAGAACTCAGTATCATGTATAGTKACATGCCGCTGTGATTATTTTTAGAAATAATGACCCTTTAAGTGTGTCTAAGATAATGAGGAATGAGACGAGCTGAAAAGTCAGAAATCTATTTAAGAAGCTACAGCAAAAATCTAGCTCAGKGAGAATGGAAGTCTGGATATTTATGGTTTTGATTGAAAGAAATGGAATTACCCAACCTTGGCAACTGAAAGAATAATTAAAACAGTCTGATACTAGAGCCCCGATGACTAGGAACACAGGAGTGTTGCTATCATAAATAAGGAAGTAAGGTTAAGACACAGGGGGCATGCTGTATTTACTGATAAGACATGGAAATGAAGATGTCCAGCTAGCATCTGGAGGTGTGGTACCATAGAAGTGATGTAGTACTGTTGCCAGAAATCTGCACAAATGCTAATCGCTAGTATAAATAAAATGGTCAGAAGGAGGAAGTATAGAAAAGGAGCAAAAGAAAAAACAAAGGTGAGAATAAAACTCCTTCCCTACCAGAGATCAGGGCCAGGTAATAACAGGCAGAGCCGGGACTTAAACCCAGGTTTTCTGAGTCAAAGGTTGATATGGTCTTAACCTTATGGTAAGATGCAACTTCGAGCAGTTCTACAAATTTAATGATGCTGGATTTTGAGAGAGGAAATGTTATTACTTTTTATTGCCTCCATGTTTGTAGACATTGATGAATGTAAAGATGGGACCCATCAATGCAGATATAACCAAATATGTGAGAATACGAGAGGCAGCTACCGATGTGTGTGTCCAAGAGGCTATCGCTTGCAAGGAGTTGGAAGACCTTGTATGGGTAAGTTAATGGAAACTCGTTGATTAATAAAGCTACTGATACAGTGACCAACTGCTTAGGATCATTCCGTCCTCACATRTTCCCCTCTTGTTATACCTAGATGGTATATAAGTTGGTCTAAGTAGTTCATGAGATAATTTGGACACTTCTTCAGAGACTTCATAGTGAGTTCAATTTATGTTGACATTTCAGTGATAATATATTCACCCTAAGTGAATTTTGAACACCATACATATTACATAAATGGATGCATTTTGAGCATCATGCAGTATGAAGGAAAATTTTGAATTTAATGCACAATTTAAATGAATTGGCAATTATTATTTTATCTACCAAACATGTAGTATTTACTAGGTGCCATTCCTTGTGCTAAAAGTATCTTGTTCAATTCTCCCAACTGCACATTATAGTTATCAAATATAAAGTAAGGAGATAATAGAAAGTATCTCTAAGACGGTAACCATACACTACTCTAAAAGACAGATCATTTCTTGATTACAAACATATCAAATTGTATTCCACAAARATATGTAAGTGCAATAAAAAATATTTGTAGGCTTTTAAACACTAGCTTCCMCATTTGTACTATGCTTTTAAAATTGGTTGCTGTGTCAAGCTCCTGTAATTTCAGAGACTTGGGAGTCTGAGGAAGGAGAATCACAAGTTCAAGGCCAACCTCAAGCAACTTAGGTCCTGTTTCAAAATAAAAATTGAAAAGGGCTGGGGATGTGGCTCAATGGTTAAGTGCCCCTGAGTTCAATCCCTAGTACCAAAAAAAGTTATGGACTTGGTCAGTTTATGTCAGAATTATTCTGTCTTCATTTCCTTCCTTTTAATCTTTTGGATAAAGTATGCTTGGCTTGATTATTAATTTAAAAAATGTCAAAAATTATAGAAAGTGTAAATGTCTATAGTTGTGCCAATATTCCTGAATCTGAAACTTGTAATTATATGGAAAATTGGGGGTACTAGTGATCAATATTATGACTGTAAACTGGGGAATAATTTCATTCTTCCCTTCATCAAAAGAATTAGGATCTACATTAGCGTTTAAACTCAGATTTCTGTGCATTCAAGACCACATTTTCTTATATGATACTTTTTGTTTCTACCATTTGTGGCTTTGATTTGACACATTGTGTCAAGCTCATTCCTTTTTTATTTCAACAAAACGTTATTGAGCACCTCATTCGTGCTGGGTGACGTTCTAGGTTGTGAGATAACATTAAGCAGGGTAAACCAGGTTTACCTTCCATGGGGAGAAAGAAGAATCACAAAGTAAATATGTAATGCAACTTCAGATTGTGATAAGCACTCTAAGGATAAATAAAACGGRGAAAGAGTGACTTGGGTTAGGTTGTGAACAGGATACTAGCAGCCTGTGAGAGAGACCAAATGAAATGAAGGGGCAGACAGAGGTCTATCTGAGCATGCTTATTCCAGACAGAGGGGTCAGCAGGGCAATGTCCCTCAGATGCTGTTGGAACTAGTTAGGCAGAGGGTAAAAAGGCCCTAATCCAGAGCTTAAACTTCTTCCAAAGGTACAATGGGAAACAGTCTTGAGCAGGCGAGTAATGTGATGCAATTTAAATTTGGAAAAGATCATCTGTCTGCTCTGTGGAGAACAAATCAGAAGAGGGCAAAGGTTTTAATGAAAAGATTTGCTACTGAGTCCTTTTAGTAACTGTTGTTTCATGAAAACTGTATTATTTTGGGATTCCACACCCTTTTGCATCTTTGTTCCCAGAGGAAGCTATACAAATTTTCAACAACGTAGCATGAGCCTACCTCATTGAACTCAGAAAGCTGAGTCTAGTGTTTCTAAGACTTAAAGTGACAACGTGATTCTTGCCATTGCATGTAAATATGTATACCATATTGGCCCAAACTGATGCCACATCAGAGTTGTTCTTTTCAGCCCAGGACACAAGGCTGAAAACAGTCCATAGGTCTGGAAGTAGAAAGAGGATGGATTCACAGAACTAGCATCAGGTTTTCTGAGCCATCTGCTCCAACATGAGTGTTTACATAAAACTTGTACAACTAAAGCAATGCTCAGGGACAGTCAGTCTTTCTCTACATTCATAAGGAGTGACTACAGCCTTCTCAAAAGCCCACAGTAGATGAGATGTGCCAGCATTCCTGGCTTTGGAGGGTAACAATGTCTTCAGTTTGTTTCACAGACTCATTCTTTATTCCTGTGTCTTGTGTAATTTTTTTTCTCTTTTCTATGTATCATGCACATGAGCAGACATTAACGAATGTGAGCAGGTGCCTAAACCTTGTGCACATCAGTGCTCCAACACCCCCGGCAGCTTCAAGTGTTCCTGTCCCCCAGGACAACATTTATTAGGGGACGGGAAATCTTGCGCTGGATTGGAGAGGCTGCCACACTATGGCAGTCAGTACAGTAGCTCTAGCCTCGCACGGTTCTCCCCARTGAGAAACAACTATCAACCTCAACAGCATTACAGACAGTACTCCCATCTCTACAGCTCCTACTCAGAGTATAGAAACAGCAGGACATCTCTCTCCAGGACTAGAAGGACTATTAGGAAACCTTGCCCTGAAGGCTCTGAGGCAAGCCATGACACATGTGTAGGTAAATGTCAGCCATATTGCATTTCCTTTTCATGGGCTCACTTCCTGACCAACGTCTAAGAATGTGTACAGCACCTGTCACTATTTGGGGGTGTTGAACTACATCTAATCTCAACTCTGGGATGACTCAGATTTGAGACATTTACTCTGGAACCTAAAACTATTACAAACTTTCATCAAATAAATGATATATTTTCATGTGTACATTCTAATAGTTTATTGTGGTAGTTTCTCTTTTTGATCACCACTGAAAGTGTTACTAAATTTAATGCTATATGGAAATAAATGTCAGTGTATTCAGAACGTGATTTTTTTAAAATAAGGTATACGTAGTGCCACATAATGAGATTATGGCTGGGTTAAAAGTGACAGTTTTAGCTACTCAGTCAATTGTTCTATATAGCAACCAATATCCCATTGACTGTAGATTATTTTGTATGTTTGTATGTCACTGAAAAGATAATGTAAACCAGGAAAAAATTAAGTTGTTCCCAGTGCTCTAAAATATGTACATTCGATAGCTTTATTTAAACTCACAAGTCTATAATCTTCATTTGTTTGCAAAAATGAAGTGTTATTTCCAACTTAAGAATTGAGGCTTTGCTTTCAGTTAAGTTGGAAACATTACCATCTGTCATTCGTTTAACTTAATTTTCTTTGAGTATCCACAGTTTACATGTGGATAAGCACCAAAGGGAAATTAGCCCCAATATGTGTTAAATAGGAAAAGAAAGCAAGGAGGAAAAAAATTCTGTTAAAATCCAAAACTCATTATGCCAGTCTCATTTTCTTACAATTCTTTTAAGTGTTCTACACTTTTCTTCTCTAAAATAAATATTTAACAGAATATTAACATTTAAGGATTTCTCTTCCTCCTAATTTCAAATTTTGGTTTTTGTTTGTTTTCTACTTATTTTCTTTCCCCTTCTCTAATCCCTGTTCTTGCATCATTATCTCTTCAGACATGCTTCCCTGGTCAACCTTAGGTGGTTGACCTGCTTCTCATATAACCTCTACTCAGTTGGACCCTCTGAATACTCAAACTTTATCTTTTGTTCTTTAGGTTCACATTTTTCCAAAGCTTTTCTGTCTAGATATCATGATGTTTCTAAGACTTATTCTAATGGAATTCTAACTTGTGATTAAGTTCCCAGAGCTGAGGGCAGCACCATTTATGCTTCAAACATTAATGTATTTATTAATACTCAGCAATTTTGTATTTGGTCAGGTTGGACAAAATGCAAAGTATGTGGACTCCAAACCATTCTGATTATTGGCCATTTTTCTTACTACAGTTTTAACCCAACTGTTCATAAGTTAAATTTCTTCACTTTTCTTTTACTGCCAGAATCAACATCTGGCATTTTGTGTTCTGGCTTGGTGTGGTGGCCCATGCCTGTAATCCTAGCAGCTTGGGAGGCTGAGGCAGGAGGATCTTGAGTTCAAAGCCAGCCTCATCAAAAACAGCATCTCAGTGAGACCCTGTCTCTAAATAAAATACAAAAAGTAGGGCTGGGGATATGGCTCAGTGGTCAAGTGTCCTTGAGTTCACCCCCAGTACCCACCCCCACACTCACACTAGTAGTCATTCTCGCTGAAGGGTTTTCATAGCATATTACCATCTCAGCCTTAGCTTCAGACAGACTCTTGTTTTCTGTTCTACAGACACTCTCCTAAGAGTCTTTGTTTATGCTAAGATAGATTAACTAAACCACACACATCCTACACCATCTAGCTGATTTCTTCTAATATATCTGAAGGTGCACATCATTAAGAAAGTTTCTCTGAGTTCTTTCTTTCATAACTAACTGCAATTTCATCATTGTTGAGTCTTATGTTTTCCACCTGTATGATGGCATATCAGAATTATCTCCCTTAGGCAGCCCGCTACTGTTTCAGAGTGAGGATCAGTCTTTAAGAATCTAAAGTAAAACTGGGTATAGTGGTGCATTCCTATAATCCAGTGGCTCGGGAGGCTGAAGTAAGAGGATCACAAGTTCAAAGCCAGCCTCAGCAATTAGCAAGGCCCTAAGCAACTTAGTGAGACTGTTTCTAAATACAATATTAAAAAGGGCTAGAGATGTGTCTCAGTGGTAAGTGCCCCTGGGTTTGATCCCCAGTACAAAAAAAAAATCTAGTAAGCTTTCACAACTAGTCAAATTGCTGGATATTTAAATTTATTTGGGGGCAATGACCAAGTTTGGAAAATTTCTTAAAATATGGCGAGTATTTTATATCATTGGGCCTAATAAAGAAATTTTCAGACAGCTCTGTAATTGTGTAACAAGAGCCACTTACAATAAACACCAAATGCCTTTAATTAACCATCTGGGATAGACAAGTTACCAAAGATTCACATTAACACTATGGAATCTTGTTAGAGTTAGGCTGAAATTTAGCTTTGGAAGGAATCGATTCCAAGCTTAGAAGCAATCTAATGTTTATTCTTCCTTTTAAGTGCAGATATCATGCTTGGGAAACCTTCCTGTGTTGAGAGTTTTTATATCAATCACTTGGAGTTCAACATTTTAAATTTTTCTTGCAATTTTAGGTTAAAGCAAATTTTAAACGGAAAAAGTAATAAGAGCTCACACAAGTTATGAAATGAATGCTTTGATAACTAAAATGGTGTGAAAACATTGACAAATGTTTGATGAATATTTATCATTWACAGAATTTAAATAATTGTGGTTGTGTTTTCAGCATGTGTAAAATATGCAAGGTAAACAGATCCTTTTCCTCTGAATCATCTCCCACTCTTCACTTTGACTTTAGTTCTCCCCTACAGCACACCTGTTACCATTTCATGACATTTTCTCAGCCCTCTGCTGGTTAGTGCATATTCAAGGACTATGAGAAAATTGAAATAATAGTCAAAGCAAAATATAGTCAGGACAAGAAATCTTAGACATCCCTTATACTGAAAGCAAATCTCAATTACTTTTGCATTATCATCTATTCTCACTCTCCTTTCTATTGTGCTTATGAGTTGCTTTTCTTCATATGAACCATGTAGCAAATTTGGAGGTAGGGTAGATGGTCTTGGCTAAGGATCCAGCTGAGATCTTGAGATGTTAAATGGCCTCCTGAAGGTAGAGTGACTACACATGCCTACTTGCCACCTGTGCTTGACAATTTTATGAAAAGTTTGATGAATAGCTGACAAAAGTAAAAACATTCCCATTTGATTATATCTGTACATGGGAAAACTATGCATTGGTGTCAGTTGGAGGTCATACAGAGAGAGAGCTACAAATTAAAATAAAACCTAGTAACTCCATTTTCCATTTAATCTCAAGACAAATTATCTTTTAGGTAAATTCTACCATGCTGTGAAGAGTTTAGTTCTTTAGTGGTTTAGGAGCATATATAAATCTGTCACCTCTCTCATTTCAGTCTAACTTATTTAACCAATAAAAAACTGACCAGTTTGGGTCTTCAGCTTATATATGCTTGTAAACAAAATAGAGATTTTCATATTTTAAAATACAGTGTATATTGTATGTCATGTTTTTATATAACGCATATTGATGTAAAACAGCTCTGAGCATTCTTAAACACAGAAGTATAAAATCACCAAGAAATTTCTCTTGTATGCCACCAACTTTTTTATCAAGGGCTATCACAGCTTGTGCTTCCGTTTGACCTGTTATGCACTCTGCTTTCTTTCTGAACAGATATTGATGAATGTCAGAACAGAGACACCTGCCAGCATGTGTGTAAAAATACCATTGGAAGCTATCAGTGTATCTGCCCACCTGGTTACCAGCTCATGCTCAATGGAAAGACATGCCAAGGTAAGGAAATGCTGGGGTGCTCACTGCTGCAACTTCACATAAAACCAGCATAGCAGAATGCGAGAAGTATTGTGAATAATTCTCCTTCCCCATGCCCGTGCGTCAGACTTATGTTTCAGCACTGCTTCTGCAAGTGGGAGAAGCAATAAGAAAGCAGTTAAGGGAAATAGTTGTGAATTATTTTTGGTATGGTTTTACTTGAAGGAGCAAGAATGCTGAAGCCAGTTCACATTTTATATTTTTAAAACCTTTTTCCATAGTTAGCTACAATGGAAGGGGAAAATGAGACGAGTACCTCATATTTACTGTAGGGCATGACTTTTTTTTTTTGCTCATTAGACTTATTTTTAGAGCAATCAGTGAGCAATGGATTAAATAACCCATTTAATGATAGGTACAAATGATGTGGGACAGTTAYGTGCTGGTACTGCAAATGCAAAAGGTTTAAATTTAAATGAATAGATCTTGAAGATCTTAACAGTGTAATTTAAGACAGTAATCAAATCAAAGTACTAGCTTACAGGTTCTATAACAGAGTTGGGAACAAAGTAAAGTGGTAATAGAAAAAAAATCAATCTCTGCAATTCCCTTTTTACACAAAAATGTTCAAGAACTGTACTTTGGTGTATATTGTATTACAATTGATTAAAAAGGAGTTATCTTGCTTCAGATCTTAAATGACTTAAAAATCTCTAAGAAACTTCCTGGATTTTGTAAACAAAAGTGAATATTATGTAGGTCTTAATATGAATTTTATTTCTGTCATGTACAAACTATTCCTTTGTGAAGAATAACAGGTAAAATCTTCAGAAGAGTACTTTATCAGTAGCAAGCAAATTGGGACTATTTGGTATTAACAAAAAAAAAGTTTCTAGAAATGCTCATGGAACCCATGTTTCTGGAACTATGACCAGGGTGAGAAATGGCTTCACTTAGTTACCATGAGCAGCTCCCATCCCAGCCTACCCTCTTACACTCTGACAGTCCCCAGTTAAGATTGTTGGATTGACAGGGAACCCGAATTCAACGATAACCTTTGCTCCCACTCATCAGTCACTAAATATTACTAAGAGTCGACCTCATACAGAATATTTTACTGAGATGTGAAGTACTAGAATAACATTGATATTGCAGGGTGGTGTTTTTCCAGAGCAACTGTTACTTCATTTGAGTCAATAGTATAGATACATCAAGGCAATCATTTATACCCATTGTACAGATAAATAGTATTAATTCTCAGAGTGATTATGTGATCCTCAGGATCCTAAAACAAATTCACTACACTTCCTATATGTGCACCAGACAGCTGGGAAAAATGGGGCAAATACTGTTGGATATTTGAAATAACCAAACCAACTGCAAAACTTCTTAGATAAGAGTACGATCATAACACATTCAAGAGAGTTTTCCTAAATTTGGCCATTTTTTTTTTAAGTTGCCCTTGTCACTCATTAACTTAAGAGTTTTTCAGCTTTTGTTTGCTCTATGGAGTGAAAAATACCGTGAACAAATCAGAAACAGGTGTCAGTTGAAATGTTTGCAATTTAAATGGGTTACATATTTTTGTGGATTTAAAAAATATGAAAGAAAACAACAATACCTTTTGAAGAAGCCTTTAAAGAATTACATTGGGGGGTAGTTAGAAAATCAAGCATTTAGGAAGAACAAAAGCTAGCTTTTAATTTAGACAGGATTTTTTTAAAGCTTTTTATACTAGTGATAGAACTCTCAAGAAAAGGGAAATTAATTCTTGTCAAAAGTGGAAATCACCATACTATAAAATGAAAGCAAAATACAAAGCTTAACCAATTATGATTTGCCTAAGAAGTGGTGAAGAGAAACTAAAAGACACTTATGCTAATTTTATGCACCACTAATGTAATTCTAAAAATTTAGAAACATTATATTGGCCTTGCATTTGAAGTGAGTTCTCATCTGTCCTTGTTTTATAAAAACTAATCCATAATATTTATCAAAAATGTTATTTACTTCATACTGTTCTGACATTTTAAGTATTTTCATCAAATTATTTTTTGAAAGTATCCAGAAACACTTGGTTAAATGCATTCATATCTTCCAAATCTATCAGTGTGAAATTTTTCAGCTCATTTTGGGATTTGTTTCTGATAGCCATAATAATTATAAGCCCATAGTTTAATTTCTATAATATTCTTTAAATATTTAATAAAAACTAAACATCACTACACTTAAAAGTATGATTTGTTTTTTAACTTTCTTCTGTTTTATTGGTGCATTATAATTATATAATAACAGGAGTCATTACTTAGTCATCCAGTACCTCCTTCCTTTCTTGTTTTAGTGTTTTTTGGTTTTGTTTCGTTTTTGTTTAAGAACAGTGAGGAGAGTGATTGGGGGCTAAATGAGGCTAATTAGAAAAACTGAGGGGAAGTTTTTCTTTTTTTGGTACTGGGGATTGAACCCAGGGTGCTTTACTACTGAGCCACCTCCTCAGCCTTTTTCATTTTGTATTTGGAGACAGGGTCTCACTAAGTTGAGCCAGCTGAAGCTGGCATAGAACCTTCAATCCTCCTGCCTCAGCTTCCCCAGGTTGCTGGGATTACAGGTGTGCACCAGCATGCCTGGCTAAGTCCAAAGTCAAAGTCAGATAGCTGTATGTAGGCACTTGTAAGGAGCATTCCACCTCCTTAAGTGATTGAATAAACCTATATCCTGTGTGCAGGAGGGAAAAAGTACAATGAAATAAACCCGAATCAGTTCTCCCAAGAGGTGCGTCCTGACTGCACTTCTATCATGAAATAGGTGCTGGCCAATCGGTATCTGTTTCTGTAAGTTCTGTTTTAATTGTCCTTAGTTCTAGTGTTTTAATTGGTTCTCCTTAACACCTGTGCAGAAAACAAAGATGGTTTGTTTGCATATTTCCCCCATATTACTGTTAGAGTACGATGAGCCTCCTCTGCCACCAGGTGAGGATAGACTCAGGTGGACTGTGCTCCCTTCAGTCAAATTGGAATAGCTTGGGGGTCATTCATTTCATCCTGGACCTTTTATTCTTGTGTCTCTTTCTTCAAGATCTGTACAGTCTCCCCAGAATTTACAACTTGACTTCTTTTATTTCTACTATCCTACTTCCCACTTAACAATTTGAGCTTACAAAACATATGAGAAAGTTCCCTCACATTTTAAAGGTTCTTTACTTTGCAAAAGCATCCACAAGTGTGCTTCAGATGTTTTAGCTTGTTTGTAGTGCATTTAAAATATTATTTGCTTTACAAAACTCAAGTGTACTCTATTTTCCAAATATAAAAGACACCAGAGAGCTCTTAATAGGAGACCAGGAGCTGGTACTGCCACTTAAGCAGCAGTACCAGGGCCTGACTGTGCCCCCTTCTCCTTTTATAGCTCTTATTTTTTGAAGTGTTTTTCAGAAATCTCCACCAGGGAACATGATTACTATTTCATGGTTGAAACTTAGGTTATGACACTGAATTCATGAGAAGTTAGGCCACCATATTGCAGATATCCACAATGGCAGCTCATTGGGCCGCCTCTGACCCCCAGTTGCTGATGCTGTGTTTTCCTTTGCTCTGCCTAGATGTGGATGAGTGTCTGGAACAGAATGTGCAGTGTGGGCCCAATCGCATGTGCTTCAACATGAGGGGAAGCTACCAGTGCATCGACACGCCCTGCCCACCCAACTACCAGCGGCATCCTATTTCTGGGTATGTCTGGCCCTCTCACCCCAGACAAGCTTCTGAAAAATCCTTCCTCTCTCTCCAGTCTGCACCCTGTCTGTGCCCATGTTAACTCAGACTTTCCACCAACTCAAGGGGGTTGTGGGGTGACATGAATGGGCAAGAAGTGAGCTCAGCGGCCACCACAACCTATGCCATCACTTTTGGCTGCCAAGGTTCCCCAGAACACTGTCCCCAGCACAAAAACACCGTGTAACCAACATCTAGCACTCTACCTCTGCAGAGAGCATCGTAGGGGTGATAGAGCCAGCCTTTCTTGGAAATGTCCCAGTTTCCATTTGAGAAGCCTCAGTTCTAAGTGCTCTCAGCATGTAGAGCACTCCAAGCAGTACCTTGTCTGTGGTTAGGATGACTCGAGGGGCAATGGGAGGATGGAGATGAGCGAGGGTGAGTCAGTAGTCTGCCCATGCTTGTTGTCTTGCTGACACTTCCTGCTGTCTCAGACAGTCTTTGCTGGGTTCTAAATAAACTGTTCTTCTATGTTCTCCCTCCTCTTTTGGAAATGTTATGCCCAGACTAGGTACCAAGGTAACAGGATGCTTGAAAACAGTGATAATGTTCATTCTGGATGGTGCCTACTAAGGAGAAGAGGTTCTTAAAGCCAGATACTCATTGGGGCTCACGCTCGGTTTGACTCTTGGTCATGCCTACCAAGTTACTGGACCGTGGTTAAGTGTGGTTTGCTCAGAATCCATCAAAAAAAAAAAAAAAGAAAGAAAGAAACCTATTTGTAATTGGTCTTATGGGAATAGGAAAGGAGAAAATTAGAATTATGGACTTATGAAATGTCTAGAAATACTATGACTAAAGAATCCATATCTTCTTCAATGGTCCTCTGCTTTTTTTCCCCTCCCCCTCTCGATTTCTGGCAACAATTTGAAAGTCATCATGACTTAAAAAGCAGTCAGTGTGGGCTCTGGAAAAAGAAAATATGGTTTTTAATTTAATTATCTTAAATACTATGAAAGATAATTACAAAGGAAGTTCTCCCCTGGGGCCAGGATTTTTAGAAAAATAAGCCAAATATCAGTGTATCGTATTTCAGCTTTCAAACAGTGTTAGGAGAGATGTTATAATTTTAACAATAGCTTGTATTCCTCCTTTTAAGAAGTATTTGTTTCCAATATATGTACAGATGCTTTTGTTTTCAAAACTGACTTTTCATTTCAAAGAAATGTACACTTGGAGCTGGGGATCTCAGCAGTAGAGTATCCATGAGACCTTGGTTCAGTCGCCAACGAGCCCCACCAGATGCTCTTTGCAGAGGGAGAGTTCTAGACGTTGGTTACATGGTGTTTTTATGCTGGGGACCGTTCTGGGGAACCTTGGCAGCCAAAAGTGATGGCATAGATTGCAGCGGCCCTATGCAACACACGGTATTTGTGCTTACTTCAAGAGCTCCAACGCTTCTTGCTTTTAATGGAGCAGAGAGATGGCTAAGAGATTATGGCCTAGAGTCGAGTATCCATCTGGCATGACTTAGTAACACAGAGCATGGGGTGAGCCTCACTGCTCTTGCAGTGTTACTGGCTTCTGCATTTAATGCCTAAATGTTGTCATAGTCACCTGGCTCATGCTCTTTCTTACCCCCAAACCAGATAACTTTGTATATTCCATGTTTGTTGTCCTTAGGTTCTGCCTCAAGAACTGTCCACCCAATGATTTGGAATGTGCCTTGAGCCCCTATGCCTTGGAGTATAAACTTGTCTCCCTCCCATTTGGAATAGCTGCCAATCAAGATTTAATCCGGCTGGTTGCATACACGCAGGATGGAGTGATGCATCCCAGGACAACTTTCCTCATGGTGGATGAGGAACAGACAGCTCCCTTTGCCTTAAGGGATGAAAACCTGAAGGGGGTGGTGTATACCACCCGGCCACTTCRAGAGCCAGAGACCTACCGCATGAGGGTTCGGGCTTTATCCTACAGTGCCAATGGGACCATTGAATATCAGACCACATTCATCGTTTATATAGCCGTCTCTGCCTATCCATACTAAGCAGCTCTCCAGAACCTCCTCACAGTTAAACCACATTTTATTCCTTACAGTCAACTTCGCCTCAACAGTTGCAAACTTGGCAACGGTGCTCTCCTGTTTCGTGTGCCTTCCTTGATACTGCTGAGGTATTTTGATGCTCCCACCCTGGTCATATATTTTAGTAAGGTCTAGAGGAGTCCCTTATTATTTTCTTTATTACACTGGAGCAGTTACTTCCCAAAGATGATTCTGAATATTTAACAGGACATAGCAGTGATGTTTATAAAACAAAATGAAACAAAAACAATTCAAAGTTAAGTCAATTTTTGAGCATTTGACTATTTTCAGAATAAACTAGTTGCTCTGTGTTTTGATAAAATCTTATGAAATAATGAAAATTTTTTTTTCAAGTACTGATACTTTATAAAAGGACAACTATTTTCATTTAAGGCAGGAGAGGGGAATACCACATTTTGCAAATATAGTACCACTACCAGAGAGTTTAACTCCAAATGGTGCTTACCTTGACAGAACATCCAAAATAAAGATATCATTTTTATTGATTTGTTAAATCATCTGAACAACTTATGGTAATAGAAAAATTTACTTTGTCCCCAGCTGATTGTCAATGCCACGGATCTTTGCTCTAACATTTTGATCCAGTTAGCTACCGTAACTTTTACAATTTTTTTTTAACTTTTCTGTCAAGGAAAACAATTTTTTAAAATGCCAATAAGACAGGTTTATTTTTTTAATCTTCTATGTTCAAATTAACACGTTAAACGTCAATACACTGTACATGGTGGTACCAGACTCTGTAAGCAATTGCCAAGATGTATTCTATTTTTATGAAGTGTATATATATTACCTTAGTATGTATTTTCTATATAATATCTTGATGGGCTCTTTTATAAAATTATTTTATAAAAAACAATGTCACAATAAAGTCACTCTAAATAAAATTTTTTACAACTTTTTTCCGAACCTGAAATGTGTTTCCTTACAGCTGTAACAGATTTATGATCATATATAAATATGTATACATCACAACAGCCCTTGAAATAGGTGGTATTATTATTCATTTTATAGGGCCCTGGGACACAAATAACTTAAGCACCTTTCTTTAGACATCACAGCTTGTTAGTGGGAGAAATGCCCTCCTTTCTCTATCTCCTCAGGCTTCAGGTCAAATGACGTCTTCAGTACAAGTTTCCTCAGCCATCTCAACAGTGACTTTGTCTCTAGTGAATCTACCTCTCACCTGTGATAGATATTAAACTAGTGAAGGCCAAATCATGGCCTAGGATTGAATAATGTGATCCTAAGTAAAAATCCTTCAAAGAACCCTGAAAAATGTGTCTCGTCCATATGTGAAGCTCTCAGTTAAGTTTACCAAAGAACAGTGTATAGAACGCTAGTCCAACAAAAGGTACTTTGAGTCAAAGGCGTTTAAGAAGTACTGTATAATATGTCCTCCTATAAAAGATTTACTATGAACACTGTACATTTAAAGGATCTTAAGAGTTCAGTAACAAGTTTAAATACCTTGGAAAAGGTTGGCTTGAACAACTTAAATTATAAACATTCCCCCCCCCCCAATATATTGTGATATCTCACTTAGAACTTGGGGAAATGCACTGTACTTGAATCGATAAACCTGCTTTACTCCTCAGACTTAGGACTTTTAATGTCCAGGCACATTGGCACATGCCTTTAATCCCAGTGGCTCAGGAGGCTTAGGCAGGAGGATCACAAGTCCAAAGCCAACCTCAGCAACTTAGTTAAACCCTGCCTCTAAATAAAATATAAAAAGGGGCTGGGGAATGTGGCTAAGTGGTTGAGTGTCCCTGGGTTTAATCCCTGGTACCAAAAATAAACAGGTAAGTATTGATGGCATGYCTGTTTTGTCCTTTGCCCAAACCCATCATTCCATGATTAGAATATGYATAGGGATACAATATCCATTTTGTAATAGTGCTGTGACAACTCTGAGGACAAAAGCCTACATAATAAGGATAGAGAAGGAAGGTAGATAGGAAGGGAGGGAGGTTGGAAGAGCCTGGAACCTTCTATGATAATGTTGAACCATTTTATTTATTTTATTTTTAAAAATATTTTTTAGTTAGTTGGACATAATACCTCTATTTAATTATTTTTATGTGCTAAGGATCAAACACAAGACCTCGCATGTACTAGGCGAGCACTCTGGAGCCACAGCCCCAGCCCCTGTTGAACCGTTTTATAAGCCCTGAGATGGTTACCCCAGGACTTCTAGTTGTTTKAGACCAATAAACTATTACTTACTTAAGCCAATTGTTTATTGAATTATCTATTGCCCTCTAAATACATGCATGCCTACAGAAACCCCTTTCCTCCCGTTTTTTTTTTTTAATATTTTTTAGTTGTAGATGAACACAATACCTTCATTTTATCTATCTTTATGTGGCGCCGAGGATCGAATCCAGTGCCTCATACATGTGAGGCAAACGCTCGACCACTGAGCCATAACTCCGCCCCTCTCCCCTGGTTTTTTCCAGCTCTATTAATTGTCCTACCATTCATCCAGTTACTCACACCGAAACCCTGGGAGTGATAATTTGTCACTCTCCAAACTCCGCATATTAAGTCCATCAAAGTATGACTATCGTCCCCACAGCCATTCTAAGCAAGGCCACCATTGTCCACTCCTAGCTAGTTCCTTTCTCTCTCCTGCTCTGCGATACACTCCACTTTGTATAGGACTAATGGTTAAAAACATCTAAGAGATCATGGCACTCCACTAAAAACTTCTCATTTCTCGTCTAGCAGTGTTTTCTCTCTGCTGTGTCAGTTTAGATAAGCTAGAACTACATTTTGTTTCTCTGTACCGTTCAAATTGTGGGCCACATGAGACATTTGCATGAGATCTGGAAAGTAGAAATGAAGCTGTGGCCGTGTCACTTTTACACTGAAAAGGTCACTGCAGGAGTGGTAGGAACTATTTCAAGTCACATACCTTTTCACTATTAGCTCGTCATGTTGGTGTGGAACATTAGAGAGCCCACAATTGTCCTACCTCCCACTGAATCTTTCACGTTCTACAACTCCTGTGCCAGACACATGTTCACTTCTGTGACAAAGAGCCCTAGCTTTTCTTGCATGACACCTCATTGAAGATGGTTAAAGATGGTGAAAGACTGCTCTGGACAGAATTGTGACTCCCAAAACTCATCTTTTACCCTAACCCTAAATGTGACCACATAGGAAGATAAGGTCAATAAGGTTAAATGAGGTCACAAGAGTGTGACCTTACTATGATAGGATCAGCATCCTCAGGAGAAGAGACATCTGTTTTTATCTCCATTCCACCACAACTACCATATGAAAGCAGAGTCAGGAAGGCAGCCCTCTCTAAACCAGAAAGAGTGCCCTCACCAGAAACCGAGCTCCACCCGACTTGCTAGGCTCCACCCCTTTCAGAAAAGAAATTTGTTATTTAAGTCATATTTTGTTATGGCAGCCTAAGTTGGTTAACAGAGAACAACGCATGGGATGTAGCTCCTATTCATGGGTTTAGGTTTACTCCTCCAGATCAGTTTATTGAAAATGGAAAGCATGAAGAGGTTGCTTGTTTGCTCCTTGCTTCTAAGTGTACTGGAGAACTTGAAGACAGAAAATAAAAATCTCAGGGCTTTATTTCCAGTTAAAGATTCGCAAAAGGGATGTGCATTGAGTGATGACACAAAAGAAATTCTTTACTCTTACAATGGCAGAGCCATGGTTTCTAAAGTTCAATCAAATTTTAATCCAGAGTGGCTGAATTGTAATACAAATTAAATTCACAAACTCATGGGGACTTTGAAGTCCAAGCTAAGGCACTGATTGGGAAATAAGTACGGTCCTAAAATTTTGGACGGAGAAAAGGGTGCAGATGTTGATGAAGTTGGAAAGCTCAAAAATCAATTTTTGACACAGAAGCATCCAGAAACACYCATTCTTCTCTGTGTGAGGAAGTTGTTCTTCCTTGCCTAAATAACCTGCAGTGGCCTTCTCTGAAGTCTCTTGTCAGAGGCTGATGCTGTCCCCAGAACCTATCCCCATCACTCCTCCTTTCCTCTGGACCTACAACCATGTTGGTGAAAGCCAATAATAACAAAATTTAGATTCCAACATGGCGGCGGGCGCGGAGAGATCAAGTCTCTGACCTCTTCAGCTGTGTGGGCATAGGGAGTCATAAACAATCTAAATTCTGTTTGCTCAGGATCACTAGGCAATGCTGAGCTGACGTGGATCTGGGGCCAACAGTCTGGGCCTCTCAGAACACACACCGAGCCCAGATCGGCTGAATTCAAGCTCCCGTTCGCCTGCTTCCCGCAGACAAACAGCTG